TTCTAATGAGATAAATTCCAATTTTATGACATGGGCACTTTAATTGTTATAAGATCAAGTTGGTTATATGGCAAATATGTCGATCAAATCCGTCGCTTTGAAATGGTTCTATTTTACTTGTCTTGGTGGAATGGTACTTTACAGCGAATTCTGCCATCTCGCGTTCAAACAATATGGATTGTCTCCAGAACAGATTGGATTCACAACTCTCATGGGTGTTCAACATTTCCTACTTCCGTTTATTCTTGCAGTTGTTGACAGATTTCAGGCAAGAAGACCAGCTCTTTTAGCGGGAACGATTGTTCTGGTGTTGGTTTGCTTACTTGCATACTCGCCTACGATAATATCGCTACCAACGTGTTTTAACTCGCCCAAGTTGTCATCCAATAATTCGGATGACTTGATGTCCATACCTCAACACGGTCAATTGGCCAACGGCTCCGTAAATTTATCAAGCTGGATTGATACATATGTTTCAAACAGCGGATTCCAATTTGAAGAATCGCCACCAATACAGCATGTACCCTGGCTAAGTACACTTTTTATTTTTATGGTTGCATCAAGATCGATAACAATAATGCTCGAGAGACTTATAATTTGCTTGGCTAATCTAGCGGTGGTTGCATATCTCAAGGAAAACCGTTCAGATTACGGGGAATATTTCATGTGGTGCCATATTGGCGGCGGCGTTTCAATTTTCGCGCTCGCCTTCCTCGTTTGGGCTGTAAGAATAGAGCTCTGTGGAATGAAAGGTTATGGTTATAATTTAATGTTTTTAGGCGTAGGTTGTATGGCGTTATTGTCAATGATGTCTCTACCGTGGTTCACATTTGAATACGAAGAAACAAAAACTATAAACTGGAGAGAATTAAAATCAACTTTGTTCAATTTTCACTATATTTTTATGTTTTTCGTGCTATGGCACTGTGGTGCGTGTATCGCTTTTCAAATAAACTGGGAGTTTTGGTACCTGGACGAATTAACAGCAAGTCCATTATTAATGGGCGGAGTTGCCTTGATTCGAAGACCACTGTTGGCGCTTTTAGCCTACATCTGTTTATCTCTTAAAATATGTCGGAGAAATGAAGACGATTTGTGTGGCTTTGCTGTTTTATTCACTGTCATTTTGTGCTCTATCCTTCACGAGGATACCCTGGTTTGTTCTTGGTATCGATATTTTCCAGGCGTTCGCTTATGGCCTGAGCTACTGTGCGTTTACGGTGGATTTTTCAAAAGCCGGATCGAAACAATTGTCAGGTGTAATTTTGAGTGAGTATGTTCTGAATATATAAACAACCTTATAAAATTCTGAATTTCGAAAATGTCCCTCAATCCACGCACACGTTGGTCTTAATTAGCGAAAATCTTCTCATTTGTGCAGGCTCATGTTGTCAGCGGTAAAATACCCCCAACTCGTGCAGGCTCGTATTGTCAGCGGGTGTTTTAGATAAAATTAATTAAAATTATTGGCTAACATGAATACATGAATATTTGCTTCTCACTTAACGCTCTTCTGCTGTCTTTGGGTCGAATGCGAAGACAGGCATTGCGATCATTTCTTTTCCATATGATTTAAACATTGAACAGAAAAAAAGGGAACGCTACCTTCGCCCTAAGCACGAATCATAACCTCGTCGCCAGACACTGCATAGTTAAATTTCGCATGTTTATTTCTTTGCAGTTCAATGAATATAAAAAGCAACCTTTTTAATTTTGTGTTTCCAGGTATGGTGGAGACAGGTTTTACCTTTGGAAGTGATGCTGGTGCGACAGTCATAGGAGTACTGTTCAACGCTGTGGGGACCCGAATCACTTTAATGATTTTTTCCTTATCCTCGTTCCTAATCCTTATTGCTTTGCTATTTTACATCATTTTTTCAAGACATGGGGAGGACGATTATGAAAAACTCAGCCAAGAAGACAGCGCTAATAAGTACGACGATGAGTATAATCATGAATGATTGTTGATGCTGCTATAAGCAGCTCCCTATTTTCGTTATTTGTTCCCAGATCTTTTTTCCGAGCTGTATAAATGCGACATTAATCAAGATTGCGACATTTAACAAAGACTTTAGTTCATTAACATTAGGTCGGCACATGAAAAGTTCGACGTCTGAAACAGGCCTAAGTTATTTGCCCAAGTTCTGTTTGCATTCGATTTCACACATGGAAAGTTATTGAACAGTAGTGCATGGGTAGGCATGCAAATAATAGCATTCACTCGAGGAAGAAGCGATATGTATAATTTGCAAGTTTCAGTTTAATAAATAATCTAGCCAAGGTCTTAGACCTTTTCGAATGTAGCACTGTTTAGTTCTGACTTGAGCATTTTCACTGTGTAATACTTGTTTATAGGTTTAGACATTTGAAATGATTTCAATTCATTGCCAGCATGTCTTTGCCCTTGGGCGATTTGTTGATCGACCTAGTATGCATACCAGCTTTACATGTGGCAAACTTGATTGGACCAAATGTATCGTTGGAGAAAGGCTTGCGTTATCGTCATGTGTCTCTTAATTAATCACGATAGCGTTGCGATCGGCAACTTGGCGTTAAATTCGCTGGACAGATACCGTGCGATTTTTCACTTGCGCGATTTTTAAGAGACCGTGTTAAATTATGAAATAAATTATACTTTATCACAATTTCATAATTATTTTATTTAATCTCTCCGCGTCTCTTTAGCGGTTTATATAAGCTAGCAATCAACCGGATGCCTGTCTATCTGTTGTAGATATTGGCAGCGACGTGACAATATTGCATTATATAGTCCAGGTACTATTGCTTAGATTTAATAGAAGTCTTCCGAAAAAAAACTTGAGCAATTCATTTGCTTACATTCTTCCATTGATTTACAGAGTAATTTTGAAACTCTTTGAAAAATCTCCAGTGGCGTACAAGGCACGATAATAGGGGGACACATATTTATATATTCATGTTAACAGACCTGTGAACACAATGGATTTGAAAAGAAATCAATCTTGCACAACATGAATATATGAATATGTGCCCCCCCCCCAATTATCGTCTCTCGCACGCCACTGAAAATCTCTATTCCCTGCTCATTGGCATTGGCCAAAAATTCAAATTTGATTGATGTCAATAAAATGACAAATAAGAATGACAAGGATGAAATTGGTGCTAGACAGTTTCATTGCTCAATTTGATCAGTTTGGTCTGTTTCAGACGTCAAACTGTGGCCGAACCTATTGCTAAAGGCTGTTACACTATGCAATTTTCTTTGCAAGTTGCAATGCAATTATAATTTTGAAGGATGTTTTTAAAGAGTGTTCGAAATGCTAAGAAATCGTTAACAGATCGTCACAAACGTTCGTATTTATTCGTATTCTTGTAAGAAAGCCTTATAAATGAGCTAAGTCAGTATTTGTTCAAGTTCCGTTTGCATTCGATTTCACACATGGAAAGTTCTTGAACGGTAGTGCATGGGTAGTCATGCAAATAATAGCATTCACTCCAGGAAGGAGAAGCAATATGTATAATTTGCAAGTTTTTTAATAAATAATCTAGCCAAGGTCTTAGACCTTTTCGAATGTAGCACTGTTCAGTTCTGCATGCCTTGTGCATTTTCACTCTGTATACAGATATAATACTTGTATATATAATACTTGTTTATAGGTTTAGACATTTGAAATGTATTCAATTCATCGCAAGCATGTCTTTGGGCGATTTGTTGATCGATCTAGTATGCATACCAACTTTACATGTGGCAAAGTTGATAGGACCAAATGTATCGTTGGAGAAAGGCTTGCGTTATCGTCATGTGTCTCTATATTAATCACGATAGCGCTAATGATCGTTGCGATCGGCAACTTGGCGTTAAATTCGCTGGACCAGGGCGCTGTAAAACACAGCGCCTTTGTGTTTTACAGCGCCCTGGCTGGACAGATACCGTGCGATCTTTCACTTGTGCGATTGTCAAGAGACCGCGTTAAAAATAAAACTGATATGTTAACTATAATACATTACAATTGACAATTGCAATATTTAAAATAACTATTAAATAAATTATGAAATGAATTATAATTTATCGCAATTTCATAATTATTTCATGTTATCTCTCCGCGTCGGTTTAGCGGTTTATCTAAGGGAGCAATCAACCGGATGCCTGTCTATCTGTTGTAGATATTGGCAGCGACGTGGCAATATTGCATTATATAGTCCAGGTACTATTGCTTAGTTTTAATAGAAGTCTTCCGAAAAAACCCCTGAGCAATTCATTTGCTTACATTCTTCCATTGATTTACAGAGTAATTTTGAAACTCTTTGAAAAATCCCCAGTGGCGTACAAGACACGATAATTGGGGGGGGGGGCACATATTCATATATTCATGTTAACAGACCTGTGAACACAGTGGATTTGAAAAGAAATCAATCTTGCACAACATGCATGAATATACGAATATGTGCCCTCCCTCAATTATCGTCTTTCGCACACCACTGGAAATCTCTATTCCCTGTTCATTGGCATTGGCCAATCAAGATGGCTTAAGAAATAAATTCAAATTTGTCAATAAAATGCCCAATAAAAATGACAAGGATGAAATTGGTGGCAAACTTCAAAGTTGGTCCGTTTCAGACGTCAAACTGTGCAATTTTCTTTGCAAGCTGCAATGCATTTATAATTTTGAAGGATGTTTTTAAAGACTATAGTGTTCGAAATGCTAAAAAAATCGTTAGCAGATCGTCAGAAATGTTCCTATTTGTTCGTATTCGTGTAAGAAAGCCTTATAAATGAGCTAAGTTATTCGTTCAAGTTCATTTGCATTTGATTTCACACATGAAAAGTTCTTGAACAGTAGTGGTTAGTCATGCGAGTAACTTGCCCAGTGCATAGTTCCTGAGCCCTCGTGTCCTCTAGTTTATGATAATACGGTGGCCTCAAACTTGGGAATAACGAAAAAATACGCACTTTTTTATCGTTAGAGGTTAATCTTATTATATATTGAATTGCATTCGACGCGTTATTTTTAAATATCTAACGCGCGACGAACGTAAAGTAATAATTTCACGTGTCGCTGATAATTGTTAAGATCAAGTTGGTGATATGGCAAATATATCGATCAAATCCGTCGCTTTGAAATGGTTCTATTTTACCTGTCTTGGTGGAATGGTGCTTTACTCAGAATTCTGCCATCTCGCGTTCAAACGATATGGATTGACTCCAGAACAAATCGGATTCACAACTCTCATGGGTGTTCAACATTTCCTGCTTCCGTTTATTCTTCTAGTCGCTGACAAATTTCGGGCAAGAAAGCCGGCGGTTTTAGCAGGAACGATTGTTCTGGTGTTGGCTTGCTTACTTGCATACTCGCCTATGATAATATCACCTACGTGTTTTTACTCGCCCAAGTTGTCATCCAATAACTCGAATGACTTGATGTCCATACCACAACACGGTCAATTGGCCAACGGCTCCGTAAATATATCAAGTTCAAATGATACCTATGTTTCAACCAGCGGATTACAATTTCAAGAATCGCCACCAATACAACATGTACCTTGGCTAAGTACACTCTTTATTTTTATGGTTGCATCAAGATTGATAACAATAATGCTTGAGAGTCTGATAATTTGCTTGGCAAATCTAGCGGTGGTTGCATATCTCAAGGAAAAGCGTTCAGATTACGGAGAATATTTCATGTGGAGCCATATTGGCGGGGGCGTTGCAATTTTCGGGGTGGCTCTGCTCGCTTGGGCTGTCAGAATAGAGTTCTGTGGAATTAAAGGCTATGGTTATAATTTAATGTTTATAGCCGTGGGTTGTATGGCGTTATTGTCAATGATGTCTCTACCGTGGTTGACATTTGAATACGAAGAAACAAAAACTATAAACTGGAGAGAATTAAAATCAACTTTGTTCAATTTTCACTACGTTTTCATGTTTTTCGTGCTATGGTACTGTGGTGCGTGTATTTCTTTTCAAATAAACTGGGAGTTTTGGTACCTGGACAAATTAACAGCAAGTCCATTATTGATGGGCGGAGTTGCCTTGATTCGAAGACCACTGTTGGCACTTTCAGCCTACATGTCTGTTCATCTCTTAAAATATATCGGGGAAATGAAGACGATTTGTGTGGCTTTGCTGTCCTATTCAATGTCATTTTTTGCTCTATCCTTCACGAGGATACCCTGGTTTGTTCTTGGTATCGATATTTTCCAGGTGTTAGCTTATGGCCTGAGCTACTGTGCGTTTACGGTGCATTTCTCAAAAGCTGGATCGAAACAATTGTCAGGTGTCATTCTTGGTAAGCATGTTATGAAAATTGTTATGGAGTATTTTAACTTTATAAGTTGTTGAATATAACCACATTATCACCTCAAACGTTGGTCCAAATTCTCTTCTGAGTGCAGGCTTATATTGTCAGCGGCGGAAATTTCCCTACAAATTTCCCTACAATTTCCCTCATAAATAAGTGAAGCCAAGATGGCGGATCACGAAGCCTTTCTTGTAGGTATGATCCAGGCCTCTGGCGCGGAAATTTCAAAGGTAAAATCATAATTGCCGCCATTTTACCTACGATATTTCTGCGTGGAGACCTGGATCATACCTACAAGAAAGGCTTCAGTGTCCGCCATCTTGGCTTCAAACTTTCGAACAAGTGAGCGTTCCAGTCTTATTTGAGTTAACTGTCCCCTACTCGTGCAGGCTCATATTGTCAGCAGTCGTTTTGCGTATAATTGAGATCAGTAGGTGAAATGCAAAGTTTCAGATTTTTTGTCTGTGAACCGCTGAAAAAGTGAGCCTTCTTTGCAGTTCAGTGAATGAAGAAAACAACAGAAAACAACCTTTTTCGATTTTGTGTTTTCAGGTATGGTGGAGACAAGTTTTTCCATTGGAATTGATGCTGGTACGACAGTCATTGGAGTACTGTTCAACGCTTTGGGGACCCGAATCACTTTAATGATCTTTTCCTTATCCTCGTTCCTAATTTTTATTGCTTTGCTATTGTATATCATTTTTTCAAAACATGTGGAGGACGATTATGAAGAACTTAGTCAAGAAGACAGCGCTAATAAGTACGATGATCCTGAAGATAATCATGAATAATTGTAATAGATCTATTCTTGAATCACTATTCTCTAGTTTGCTAGAAGGGGGCTTTGGTTATTCAGCTGCATTGTGTAGTATTCATCCTTGTGAATTATACTTGTATTGTCCATACCTTGTGAACACTTATTTAGTCGAACGGCCTCTTGGGAAACAGGCGGGTATGTGCCCTGAAGAGTACCGTTACAAACGTTTCTACCCTGCATGAAAACCCGTTAACACGATCTGACTTTGTCGGATCTAATTCACTTCTGACGTATGGAATGCAGTTTGTTATTGGTAAAGCAGTGCTGGATTAGCTTTAATTGATTTGCTGTTCATATACTTTGCTAGTCACCAGACTATAAAACTAAAAAACATCCATCAGAAGTAAATCGCATCCGACAAAATTGCATCATATGAACAGGCCTTAACCCAACAATCACTATTCGTCGTAACACACTTGTATGACAACACTTTCTCTATAGCCGCAATTCTCAATATTTAGACTTCAAACTTGGTGAGAAAAAAGATTTAAAAATATTCAAGAAAATATGTCTTGCACAAAAGATTTGAAGCTTGCACACGGTAAAAGCGAATCGTCTGAATTAATAACCTTGTGTATACTTTAAGCCTCAAAATGGCCATTTCACAGCTGTTAGATGTGTATTGTATGATGAGCTGTCAAAAGATTGCGGAATGCTTTTTCGGAAGAAAAATTGAAGTTTTTAAAGTTATTCAATACTTTTCTCCTTGATAGCGGTACAGAAATTAAATGCACAATTGTGAACCAGCGATTAGATTTTCCGGTTGAAACGTCTTGAAAACATCAATTTCTGCGGTGTCTGCCCACTTGTATTCATGTAACCAAGTTCATAAATAAACGCTTGCTCTTAAATAATTCTTTCAAAACGGCGTTACTCTAGTTAATAATTCCCTTTTTTAAATAAACAAGACGCCTGTTCTCGCGTTAACTCCGGCGCACGTGCCAGTCCTCAATATAGAGCTTCTGAACATAAACAATACAGTTCATATTCGCATTTAGATGCCTTGCGAACCTAAATGTTCGATCGCGAAATTCAAAAGGAAATCGTACTTTAAAAAGTATAGAAGTTCAATTGTTCAAAAATGTAAATAAACCGCATGATATATTCGCTTTATCTTACACTTTGCCTTTGGAATTCGCGCTTATATAGTTATATTAAATCTTCAATCCTGTGCAAACTACGACGTTCAACGCGCCCATACACGACCACATCATCTTGTTAAACGGCGAAATAGCAGCGATATTATTAAAATAGGACCAAAATCTGCATGTATTAAATATATTCTTACCCCAATTCAATCTAAACTTAGTCGAAAAGCATGAAAAGAACGGTTTATTTGTTGCTCTTGGAGGAATTGCCGTATCATCCGAGCGAAATCGAATCGCGCATCGGAAAATTAGCCAAAGCTGTGCACCACAACTCTTGGTAGATAAGACTGGGACGTAGATAAATACGGTTACATACACATTTTAAATACTACAATGTTTCGCGCCATTCAGACTTGCGACGACGAAAAATAAACAAAAAACAAAAAACAAAACAACAAAACAAAACCGGGGCAAATTTTCAACTCCGTCGCTGACGCCGGAGTAATAATTTCCTTCTTTAAACAAGATGGCGCCAATTTAAATTTCGTGTAACATCAGACTTTCCGCGTTTGACGTCATTATAAGGTCTTTACATCGGGCTGATTGGTAGACATTAAATTTTGAATCAGCGAAGAGCTACCTCTTTTTTGTCGTGCAAAATATAATTATGCAAATATACATCAAGGACATAGTAGAATAACACTAAATATATTAAATACAAAAACAAATGTCTATTTCACAAAAAGTAGTGAATTTCACAATTTGCTAGCCGTGTTGAAATATATATTTATAATTATATATAAATTGAAGTTGCACTAATGCAGTCATCGTATCAAATGAAAAAGGACTAACTACTTTTCCTAAAAGTCGAAGGAGGGTGTTTATCGTTGGAAAAAAATATACAATACAGTCTTGAGGTTAAAAGCGAGCTCAAGCTGGGTGCTTTGGTCCGACATGTGCTATTTTAATTCCTTCCAGTCTCAACCACAAGTTGTAATTCGAAGGAAAAAACTAATTAAATGCGATGAAAATTTCCTGTAAATAAAACGTCACCCATCGTTCTGAGTTGCCTGAATGCTTCAGGACTTCATGTTATAATATCCTCAATGGGCTCTAAGGCAGTTTTGCATCGAACAAAATTCTTCGCTATGGTGCATTTTGCGAGCAAAATTGAAAAATTTTTGTCAGGATAAAATATGGTTCAGCCCGCAGGTCGCGGGCTGGATTATATTTTACTTGACTCGAAATGAATCCTCATTTGCTTTGTTTACGGTTCTAAATACCTTTCAAAATTATCATAATTATGCAACTGATGTTCTTGTGCATAAATATGTTTTTCACACCCTCTTGAACTTATTTTATCCCTTGCTCGGGCTAAAATGTGTTCCGATTTGGACCAAAAACATGATTATGGCGGCAAACATTAATTCTATCGTTGCATGTTTCCTGATCAACTCAGTTATGGGATAGGAAGTTCTTCCCAACGGATCAGGCCCATTTACAGCTACTCTAAATGGTCATTTTTAAACTTCCTGTGTTTTGCCGCTTTTAACCAACCACAAAAACGTTGGTTAATTGTTGTCGCAGGGAAATAATTAAAAATACAAACTTTACTAATCAGTTATACTGTCGTTGTCTGTGGGACTACGCCAAGTGTTCTTTGAACCCAGCCAACAAAATCGATGCTAGATTCTTCGGCCTTCTTTATAAATTGGTGGCTCTAAAAAGCGTGAAATCTTTAAAAATCTGCGCATCATTATGGCTATAAAAGACTTATATTATAACAGATTTCTTTAGCTGTGACTACAGCTTGGGTAGGTTTGTCCACTCGCATTAAAGCCTTCTAGTAAATTACAAAGGTGATTATTGAAAATTCCGGCCTCTGATTGGTCGAGCGACCTTGGATTATCACGCGATAATCACCTAAACGGCTAAGCGGATTTTTCAAAATGGCTGCGAGTTGTTTTTGTCAAAGTGACAGATGAAGAAATACGGTATTTTAACGAAAATGCTGTAACTGAATGTACAAAAGAGTGAAAAAATGAGGCCTACAACTACTTTCAAGGTAAAAAACTACTTTGTAGAATGCTTTTTAGTTGGTTTTTTTGCAAAATATTGTTTTATTTGAACCGCGGTAAAACTGTCGAGATGTTTGTTTACGTTTGCAAAAAATGTATTTTCTACATACAACAGACACGTTTTTTTCCCCAAAACTACGTATGTAATTATACTTCGCTTCGTTTCTGGTTTTATACGGCGAAATTCACCGAGCGTCCGAGTCTTAGGCAATAATTGTTTTACATTGAGCTACGTATGTTTCATCCCGGATTTAGCTTTTTATAACGAGACCATTTTATCAAAATTGGCGCGAAAAAAACCCGGCGCAGAATCTGGGCTGGACGTTTGGAAATGACGATGGATATTAATACCATGATTTTGGGAAATTTTGATATATTTTGGGAGCTTACTTAAGATTTTGTCTGCTAGCACAGCCATAGAATGATAGAAAATATTCTCAACCCAGTAGTGAACACACTTACCATTAAAAACTTAAGATTTGCTCGTTCGTTTGGATTCTTTACCAAACTAAAAAGTAAAAAATATTTGCATAAGCTAAAGATACTATTGCTTTCAAAGCAAATTCACAATTAAATATCATGAAATAAAATAATTCTAGGATTATTTCGAATTTTTGAACCTCAGAAGGAATGATGCCAAAGGAAATAAGTATACAGACATAAATGGGGAACCTAAGGGCTGGGATGGGCTATACCCACTCATCCCATAATAAATCAGCCCTCCCCCCACTTGGATTTGCTTTCACAACCCATGGTATAAAGTGCATTGCCAGGGAGGATAAATCATTGTAGGAAAGGAGTGCTCACCATTTATGTACAAATTCTCGAAAGTCATCTGAAAAATGCCTCTCTGGTAACCTGGGAGCAGGCTAAAAAATAAGAAACATTGACATTACCATCGTTAACTGCAGGTAAGAGGTTTTGTAACAATTACATTTGTAACAAACTCATTTGTCGTGTATACTGACTGTGCATTTGACACTTGTCCACACCCTTCACTGTTTTACATACCTCGTTTACAATGTAATCCAGCAATTCAAAAATTGCCATTGGCCTTGGGACCTCTCCACCATTCACTCCTTGAGGGACCTGGGCCCCAGGAACAATCCTCTCTGGATTAAGTGAAGCTAAATCTTGGATTTCCCCAGAGAAGACTTTATCAATGTCTTCAGGGTTGGGTGGTGGAACCGGGTACCGCCCGATTGCCATTTCAACTAATGATAATCCAAGACTCCAAATATCTGATTGAATCGAGTAGATATTTCCTTGTAAACGTTCAGGCTGGCAAAGAAATGCATTTATACTTAGTTAATGAAAGATTATTTATTAATTCATAAGTATTCATATTCATTGACCAAGTTTCCTTGATAAGGCCATTGAGAGACAACTTAGCAAAACAAATTAGTAAGGACAGGCCCTAGCTAGTTCTTTTCAATCATGGCCGTAGTTCTTTTGCAGTTTTTGAATATTTCTATTAACTTTCAGAGGTGAGTATATTTTGTATTAAATAGTGGATATTTGTATTTTAATCTCACATTTAATCAACACATGAAATTACTGACAAATACAAAGCAAAAAAAACAAAATTAAAAACTTACAGCCATATACGATCTTGTTCCAACAAACGAGTTTGCCATTGAGTCAATCAACTGACCACTCACGCCAAAATCACACAGTTTAATTTCTCCTCTTGAGCTGATCAAGATGTTAGATGGTTTCACATCTAAAAATTGCAAATAAACAAGTTGTTATCATTGTATCTAATAACAATGTCAAAAGCTATATTATAACCAGTATCCTCTCACCTCTATGAATTATTTTGTGATTTTCTCTTAAGTAACTAAGGCCTTTGAGAACCTGAAAATGATGCATAAAGCGGTGAGTTTTAATATTCTTGAATTCTCAATAAAATATGTTAAACGAAATAGTCCATTGCGTATAAGAATTAGAGGCACTTGATACTACTTCGGTATTTAGAACAAGTATTTATCTGTTTAGTTCAGTTCTGAATGAGATTCTCTAAAGGTCTCTGTTTTAACTGTTGAGTCTACATCATCCTAATAATAATCCATTATAAATGAGTATTACTAAGACCTTTCACAACCAAACAAATTTTAACCTCCCTGTGTGTAACTATAGATTATTTGAGTTCCATTTAATATAATAAAAGAAATTATACAAAACTTACTGCAATACTAATTATCCCCAAAACATCTTCAGGAATCCTGCCTGCTTTCTTTAAAACTTGATCTAAGGAACCACCATCCTAAACATTGTAGGAGCGTTCCTTATTGGTAAATCCTAGCACACCCATTCAGCAATTACATCATAAACCGCTTTAAGCCAAGGAACTAAATCAATCGCTGCTACTCCTGGGTTCCGGGCCATCAGCATATGTACACAAGCAGATATAACTTACTAAACTTATTCACTGGTTAGTCTCACATTAATCTCAAAGTTCATTACTCTCAAAGTTTACTGAAAAGGCACTAAACTTGTGTCATACACTAACAGTCTGAAATACTTAATAAAGTATCTTAAGAATCAGTTGTAAAGCTTTTTCATTTATTTTAGCCAACTTCTTAAAGTTAAGCAATAAAAAATTGGAGATTTTAAAGTAAACTATGATTTAACACTAAAATAAGAAGGTTTTATGTAACTATACAACTGTGTTTAATTGTGTGGTTTCACTTTGCTGTTTTGAAAATCCCTACAAAGATGTCATTCATTTGTTCATTGTTTTAACATACTTTCGCACACAGCGTGTCTGCGTTTATAATAATTTTTTGATGTATAGGATATCCTGTCTGAAGTTATTAAAACAACTAACAATATAGCAACAAATATTTGTATTATAACTTCATGAAACAACGAACTTCACTGCATCCTATGCTTAAAATATAGCCACACGACAAAGACAAAACGATGTACAATTGTGTGAAATTGAATTGCGTTAAAAGGGAATAATTCAAGAATATAATTTAGCAATTAGAAATACTCAGCCGGAAGCCAGATGCTATGAAGGAATGCATACCATGTGTTCCATACATATTGAAATTTCCCCATCGCAATAAAATGCCCCGTAAAACCCAACAATATACGGCGAATTACAGTCGTGTAAAACCTTCAGTTCACGAATGATTTGATTACGAATCGCCGGCTTGATTTCCAAATGGATTAGCTAAAAAAAACGAACGAGAAATCTGTGTTAATGGCTTTTTGGAAGAAATAATTGACACTTTAGTATAAACATTCTTTCGCACGTTTTACTATTTCAACAAACCGCAAAATTGCCTTCATTCTTTTAATATAAAAAGCTCACGAAGGCTTTTTGTGTATTAAATTTCATATGTTAGAGCTGAACAACATTGCACAATTTTGTAAAGTACAAAAGTACACGCTGTTTATAGCAGTAGAAATGAAGTTTTAAAGCAACATATGTTCTAGAACGATTTGATTCTTGAAGCTTACATTTATAAAACATGCATTTCGAAGGCATTCTTTTAAAAAAATACTTCATTTGCTGGCATTTTAGGGGCAAGAGAGCATCTTAAGGGCAAGAGAAGGTACGACAAATGACTGTTGTCTGTATAATTTGGGCAATTCACGTCAATCCTGTACTGGCTGTACAGTTATTTTGTAAATAAATGCAATTCTTCTGCCATCGCGAATCGAACGGCATCGATGTTTGATGTTGCAAATTACATCATTATCTCTAAACTAAACACGGTTAAATGCTCGCAAATTTGGGCACAAATCTTCAGGGAAGTATGTTAGAAATGTCGAACGATAAACAGTATACATAAACCTCCCCACCTTTCGTGCCATAATTAGGCCTGTTGGTTTGTGTAGTACTTTTGTGACTACCCCGCCATTACCAGCGCCTAGCTCGTCGAGTTTTTCGAAATCATCGGTGTTGAGGTCCCCGATTTTACGTTTCTCCGCCAGGAAAGACATGAGCCTTTCTCGCTGCGAATCGTCCATTTCGAGGTCGGCCAATTTCTTGTTGATCGAGTCGACATTTCCTGAAGCCGATGTCTCGATGTCTGTGCTACAAGATTAGAGGCAGAAACATCAGCAGAAGGCGCACGTTCGCGTGCTTGAACATCGTATACAACACTTACTTTTCAGGTATTGCAACGGGCGGTGCTAGAATGGTTAATTTCGGGCGATTTTTCAACTTTTTTCCATCCGCCATCTTGAATTTGAAGTGTATCAGTAGCAGTCCGAATGCATTTCCAAGTCCACAGGATTCTGCACAGGAAATACGATCGCAAGAGTGGGCAGTTTGAGTCCAAAACTGCAAGCTAAATATTTTCACGTTGCAACATTGCAGTCGAGCGACATTTTACAGTACACAGCAACACAGCTCTGCAACCTCGTAAGAATACATGGCGCATGTCTGAATGAACTTCAGCAATCGGAGAATGCCGAGAATTCCCGATCAAATCCGACAAACGATGAATTTCAAGCTATTAATTATAAGCCCAGGATTTCAAGCACCGCTTGTAGTGCTCGTTTTCTATTTGTTTCACAAAATCGCAGCACTCGAATATATCGTCCGATGTATCAATAAATTTATGGTCCAAAGTATTGTGGTCTCCAGCAATCTCTAAAGGTTCGTGGCATACTGTTTCTAACGACATAAATTTTTGGAAGATTTTATTTCCCAAAGGTGAGGCAAGGCGCGCCCAATTGAGGGATATTCATTTATTCGATTATATTAATAGGCTCAGTATCGATTCGAGTTTCTTTTAAATGAGTTTAAATCTCATCACATAATATTCCCAAAACATTGCGTGACCAACTGACTACAAAGACAAAAGAATCAAGTAAGAGGTTCGTTGATAGGTATAAGGGTCGGTATTTCGTCCCCCCCCCCCTTTATCTAAAATGCATGCTGCATGGTTTTGATAAAACAGATAAACTTCCTCCCGTGTCTTGAAAACACACGGAAACTAATCTAAATTAGTTTAAGAATAAGCAATAAATGTTTGCATGTACTTTTTGCCGTATCAATGCACCCACAGACTTTTGTGCATGGTGGATAAAAAATATAAAAGAATAAGAAATCTGTGAAATACTGCATGGTATGATACATCATTACTGATTTATTTCTTCAGAAATTGATTGTTTTCACAGCCAATCAATATTAACAAAGTAGGACTAAATCATTGGGCTTGCTACCCTACTGAATAACTGATGTCTATTTTACGTTGGTTATAGAAAAAAAGCTGCGGTTATGGTTGAAGAAAAATACATTAATAACTCCAACATTGGAAAAACAACGTTTATATTCAGCCAGAAATACATGCAACATTTAAATAACGATCAGCCACCATTAATTACAACTTATATTCATTACAAGTTAAACTGACATTTATATCAATAGTTTCCCTTGAATCAGACCCGGCATCGATTTTAGAAATGGAATATGTAAACCGTTCTGAAAGAATTGGCTCACGAAGAATGTTTAACAAAAATGACATGCCTCGGGCCAACCAAAACAAGTCCGCCATCTTTGTTGCAGACAAGATGAAACCTTATTAAATCGTCTGGTACAGTTGTAAGAAGTAATAAATATGAATATAGAAGTTTGCCTGTTTCCCCAGACCAATACTCGATCAACACCTTGCCATCATTAGACCATGCGTAGCCAATAATAGTCTTGGAAACATCATCGTAAAAGACATCGTTATTGAAAAAATCATTTTTACTATGACGAACTTTCACAGATTTCCGTAGCTCTCCTTTTTCTGTGAAGACGTAAAGCACAAATAATAGATCTGGCCACTTATATGTTACAATTATGACCTCATTATCGCAATTAACAGTCAATGATTTTACTTTATAGGTGTAACTACTCAAACCTGTGTTAAACTTTGTGACTTCTCCATCTTTGTTACATATATATACCACGATACTCTTCAGACTACTCTGCCAATGTCCGCAAGCAATGACAATACTTTTATCCTTGGTAACAGTAATTGCCGCAGATTTTAAGGACTCGATGTCCTCAGGCTTCAGAAAGGTTAACGCACGCTGATGAATATTTCTCCCATCTTCACTGAACACTGACAAGGTTCCGTCAAATGACACAAGATGCACTTGATCGTCTTCATCGACAACGACGCCAAAAGGAAGTATAGTTTTATCTTCCAATGAAGAAGAACGGTATGGCTTCATTTCACCGGTTGTCTTATCGAGCTTTTGAGGACAACATGGACTGCTTTCGGAAAAGCAAACGAGGTCACCATTCTTGGACAAGGCAGCCAACTGGGAAATCATAAACTTGACAGCAGGGAAATCCAGAAAGATTAACGTTTCAGGTGAAATGTCCCAGGGTAGTGTGGTTTTCATCTCCTCCGGATTTAATGAGGATTCGTCATCACAATAAAGTGATATGAAAGAGACGAATTGCTTGCTGCCACACTTTATCATCGGCCAATCGAAAACAGACATACTTTTCTTTGCGTTTGCATTCTTTGAGATAAAATCAGCCAATATCAAATTGATCATCTTCAGGGCTTTCACAACTTCCGCTCGAGTATCCTTCTTGAAAAAAGCTTTCACTCCTCCTTTGAGGTACACAGAAACCACTGCTTCTATCTCAGGCATTTCATGTAGTTCCTGCAGGGAACGCAAACAGCCTTTCGCCGCATCTTCCGGCTTGCCTTCGCGTGCTAACATTTCGCTTGCGATCCGTAATTCACTCGCTAAAATTCTTTCTTCGATACTCAATGATGCGCTTTGAAATGCTTTACTCGCATACTTCTCAGCGGCCTCGAAGCATTCTTTTGCCAACTCGGGAAATCTCTCGATCTTCGACTCTAGATGTTGAGCGGTTATTTCTTGAAATGGCTTTCCACTTGCTAAATCTGCCGTCGATATGTTTCCACCTTCAGAAGTCTTGTCAAAGGACGGATACAAATGGTCCATACCTAGCTTAAAGCGACTAATGCTCATGCGAAGATTCAGTTTCTTCATATCATCAAGTGTCGAATTAATTTTGTCCAATTTACTAATAATCAAACCTCGAAACTTTTGGGCCGTCAATCCTCCATGCTTAAGTTTCTTGGCGACATAAGAGCGGGCTTTCTTCGATGTTATACGTAAGGCAAATCCCAAAACGCCTGTGATTAATTCAGGCATCGTAAAACAACAACGTCAAGCTAAACTGTGAGAAAATATTTTGATCACAAAATTGACACGTAGCAGTGCTTCAATTTTAAAAATCAAAACATCCTGTTTTCCAGGGCTTCCGCAACTTATTTGCATAAAACTGTCCTCATAGGGGGATAGCAATGACAAATCTTCTGTCATAAAAGAGAGACAAAGAACTTTTTATATGCTATCAACACAGATCCCTTCCTCCCTCGTGGTTGTTATTATTTGGAAGCAAATTTTCCTTAAAAAAACACAGACCGTAAGACTCTCGCTTTAGCTTGAGTAATTAATTACACAATCACAGATTTATATGGGTCAACCAGGAGGTATTTGCGTACTCATCTTGAGATTATATGGGAAACTTGATGTAAACGTATTTCTCGCCAGAGTCAGCACTTTTTTGCAATCTTTTGCGGTGTTTCTCACTTAGGAGAACATACACAAACTTTGGAATACTATTTCTGCGCTGAGCTTGCGAGAACTTTAAATAAACTTGGGTCAAGCGAGAAGAATAAATAATTACGTTCTATTTCACTGCGTCTAACCAAATGTAAATTATTTTCGTTCTCACCATGGTAGAATACTAAACAACAAAACAATACCACGGATACTTTCATTTCTCGGGCAATCTAGCTTGTTTTATTATGTCTTTATGATGATACACATGCACAATCATACGTTTATAACCGTATTTCCGTAAATTGTTTGAAGTTTGCAATCGTTGGCATATTTCAGTCGTCAAAAAATATACACCTTCGTAGCTCCCATGAATTCTGATTGATCTTCCCGTCAAACTTTCATTGTGCTTTATTGCAGCATTCGCCCCACCTGAGCGCAAACTATGTTATCCAACTGCTTGTTCGTTTATTGTCATAACCTTACATAATGATAAATTATATAAGTATTAATTTATGCGGTTCTAAAATCTTACATAACCTATTCGAATTGAACTACACGAGGAAATATTTCGCTGTTCACACTGGCTTTGTCACATAGACCGTGACTCGGTAAAGCCTCGGCTAGATGGGCGCTAGGGATGTAGATAAGTTCCAATATAACCAGGAAGCAGCGTCTTCAAACAATTTAACATCAAATGTGGTATAACAACTGCCTAAAATAGACAAAACACTTCTCGACGTTTCGACCTGAGGGCCTTCGTCAGGAGAGTTAGTATACCATCTATGCCTCTCCTGAGGGCCTTCTCAGGTCGAAACGTTGAGAAGTGTTTTGTCTATTTTAGGCAGTTGTTATACCACATTTGATGCTAAGTTGTTTGAAGACGCTGCTCCCCGGTTATATTGGTCATAGGAATGTGTTATAACAGAAATGCCCACGCATGTTTTGATAATATTCCAACCTTTATCGCTGCATTGAGAGAATTGCTTACGAAGAGTTTAAGCGATTAGCGAAGCTATTTTGCTTCATATTCAAAAATAAAAACGGGATATTTGGTTGTGAATCGATATGGTTGTTGTTCAAAGTTGGTTGTTCAAAGGAAAATGCAACTTTCTGGCAAATTTTTTAAAAGTGCCTCAATGCTCTCCCCAGTTCTTTTGAAGACGAGGGTCACCCGACGAGGGTTTCACTTCAGAAAATATTTAATGGAAAGTTTAACCATACTAAATATATTATACACTACTTCTTTATTTAAGGAGAAATATACTTGCGCAAGAAATATTTCGGTATACTTGCGCAAGAGATATAAATTGCGTAACTACCACAATTGCCTAAAACTTTATTCAAAAAGATTCCAATCAAAATAATCTTTGACATCTTTCTTCAATAAGTGGCAGTCTTGAACAGCTTCATCACATCTGGGTAAAAGAATATTTATTAATCCAAATATAATTTCAAAGAAGAAGTCAATATTTTTTAATCCAAATGTGATTTAAAGAAAAAGTTAATATTTATTAATCCAAATATGATCTCACAAACAGAATATATGTTAACCTTATAGTGATTGTGCATATGTATTGCTGAGCATCCAGTCAAGCTAATTTTTCAGCTTGACTGGTTGGTAACTCGTTAAAAACGAATAATAGTAATTAATTGTTCATAATGATATTATTATAAAATTGAATAATGATAATACTAGCCAAAGTATATAATAATAATACTGGAAAATGTTTATAATATTATTGCTATTCATTAATACTTTAATGGTACTAATACCAATGATAATACCAAATGACATTATAGAACAATAATAAAAAATAAGGTTAATGATATAATGAATATGAAATGATTGTTCATAATGATATTATAATGTTAATAATTATAACACTAAATTTTGTCAGTAATACTAAAATGACATATGCTAAAAATGAAGTACTTGTGTGAAGAATTGTGTACCTGACAATATTTTTTTGAAGTACAGAGAGTTCTTCCCTTGCTCTGGCCAGTTCCTGATAAAATTGTTCAAATGGTAAAAGGTTTAACAGAGCCTCATTTCACCTATGATTGAATCTTCAATTTATAAATATCAGCAACCGGTTGTGTAAGAATGTCATTTTTTCATATCTACATAATAATGAACCTTTTGAAGTTGCTTTTGTTTCACATCAAGAACTGCAATTTTTTTTTCAATACTCTGCCTGTGTCTCTAAAGAGAAATTACATGTAAATGGTGTCATATATCTGACAGCACATTATATTTTAAAAATATAGAAGTTGAAAATCAAAACCAACTGTTTGCTTACATTTGACTCCCATGCAAGACTTGATGTTCACTTTACAACATCAGTTCAACTTACTTTGCGGTTTTTCTCTTTCCCTTTAGTATAAAATTCTTCAATATTTCTCTTCACTACACCTTTTATCAACTTTCTTTTCATCACAAACGACTTGTATAGTACCGTGATGTCATCATGCATTCTGCGTAAAGTGATCAAAACTTGAGAGTAAAATATCACAATTAATCAGCCTGTCCAGTTCAGAGTTTTCTGTTCAAAGAATTGCTTTATTTGAAGAACTATACACAGTTTCCAATATTTAATATTTCAAACACAAGACATCCCTTACCTATATTTTAAAGGAAAGTTGTTTCTCATCTCATCTAAAGTGCATACATCTTTGATATCACGATTTAAAAGAAAACCTGAGACAATATCTACGAGTTTATTTTCTTCATTTTCTTGAATTTCTTCCTCGCTATCGCTCGTATTTCCCGCCATCTTTCCCGCCGTCGTGCTTCCAAAACCTTCCACATTTTCAGGAGTATTCATTGGGAAAATTCTATCTGAACTGATCTCAGAAATCCACTGGACTAGTTCATTTTTTATTTTATTTTTTTATCAAAAATAAGATATCTACTGGACCGGTTCAGTCAATCGCAGTGCATTATGGAAAACGCATGCTACGTGTAGGGTATGGAAGTTTATTGTAAATATGAAAATATCTCGCAAGTCCTGCCTTTCCTCTCTGGGCCTGCAGGCTCTCAATTTGAATTCAGTAAAATAATTTCTTCACTGTTTTGAGCAGCTCTAAGTTCACTTGTGCCCAAGCTATCAAATTTCCTATCAAATGTTCTTGATATTTTATCCAATACGGCTCATTTTCAGGCCGTAAAAGTAATTAATTTAAATATGCACTTTTATTTAGGCAAGGTAGCATGCTTACACATTCAATTTAGTCATACACTAATAGTTATCCCCAATTCCTCAATGATTAAAGTTAAACTCTACCAATGCAGGTGCCGGTCATTTTACTGAATCACGTTGAAAAACACTAAATTTTACACTGAATATATTAAGTTCTGTATTCTAAGTCAAATATTTTGACTTTAAAGTCAGGTCAATCATTTTTTTTTGCTATGCATATCATATTTTCTGTTTTGTTTGAAAGGATGTTCACCTGCGCATTCTCACACTAATATAACTCATTTCGACTTTTTCCCGCCAAACTTCAAATTAAAAGCGCCAGTAATAGTTGATAGTGGTTCGTTTTCATGGCTTCCGCTTGTTTTCGCGTCGCATTTTACTTTTTCTGTTTGCTCCAACTTTTTTTGCCCATCATCAGACTTTCCTTTTGATTTCGTTGTCTCTTCCACCTTTGCTTCAACTTTGGTAACTTTCGAACTATCGCTTAACTTTTCCGCTTGAATCTTGGCCGATTTATCATCGTCTTTGCTCGTGTTTGCCTCGGCGACATCTTCGGAATGACCCGCACGTTCTACTTCGGGAGATTTCGTTTTATCTTTCTGCCCTCGTTTGCTCCTTCTTCCTGGCGAAAGCAGTTTTTCGAGCAATGGCGACTTTGTGCTTTTTCGAGTTTTGGAGGAAGGGTCAATCTTTCCCTCTTTCACCTCGCCGCCGTCTTTCGCTACTTCCGTTTTGCCTTTCGCTGATTCGTTTGCAAACTCCTTAAGAGGTATTTCTTCCCGTTTTTCTTTGTTTACTTTCGGATCAGAGAGTTTACCTCCGACTATTCCTTGAGTTTCCGTTTCACCTGTCGTTTGTTTCGAGGTTTGTTTTCGGTCGAGAGTGGAAGATGGTTCACCTTCTTTTGTTTCCCCAAGCGCGGCAGGAGGTAATTTACTCGCCTCAATCTTGCAAAAAAGAAATCAAATCCCTTTTGAAAACATTAAAACCATTAAATTCCTTTTGAAAAACCATCGCTAATTTCTGAATTCAATTGCATGAAATGAATTTAGCAGTTGCAATTGGAAAAACTAATTTCTGAAACTGAAAATTCTCAAATACCTCTTGCACTTCGTGCTTCATCTTTTCCACTTGTTTTTTGCTTGTAGCAGAGAGAGGAATGCCCATCTAAAAGATTTTTTGAACATACAGTTCGCCAAGGAGACTTATAACAAAATCGCCTCCAGAACAAAACTATACGATGTAAACTTTCGCCATAGTCGGGATTCACGATTTGAAATTGCATAAGCGCGCATGCGTGAATAGCCTGGTCGGTTTGTCACCGACAGTCGGCGATGGGCATCGGTGATCGGCTGCAGAATAAAGTGCTTTATTTTGACGCTGACGAATGCTGAAGGTGCGAAAATTTTTCATGAAGTTTATTATAGTTCTTTAAAACTATAATAGGTATAGATTTAGGATTTGGATTAACACTAAAACCTTATCTAAGATCTAATCCTAACCTAATATCAAAGATTAGGTTCGTGTAAGATTCACTGAACATGGAATTATTACCCCTATCATTATAGGTGATAATTATTAAGAGATAACCCTCAAACCTTGCAATACCTCTTCCAATTCCTCGGTCAAAGCCAAACACTCTTTCACCTTCTCCTCTCTATTTTCTTCATCCCCAGACTCCTCGCTGGATTCCTCGGACTCGTGCTCCTCTGGTACATAATTGGAATCATCTTCGCTCACATAGTCACGAGTTATTTCGACCAATGTCCCCTCCTCGGACGACGTGCTCTGTCGGTCGCCATATTTTCTTTTCACAGGCGATGGCTCCATGTATTTCACTTCCTCCGAGAGAGAACCACGTTCTTTACGCTTGCGACCAGCCTGGATTGCGCTTCCTTGGAACTAAGAAAGCAAAAAAATTACAAGTACAATAGCCTTTCTTTGTCCATAAATTACGATATGTATATGAAAAACCATGCTTTTTAAAAGCTCGATTCTCATTGCTCAACGACAGTTGGCGATGGCGTGGCGAGGCTCGAAAGTTCATATCGACATTCACAATTCGTTCGATAAACTAAGCATTTGATTGGCTCTTTGATTCCTAGATCCTGTGACAGACCCAGCATCAACCTCGTATCCAGGCCTTGGGCCTTGTCGCGGAGGTAAAAAGACCCTGGGTATTGACCCAGCATTAGTCAAATTACTGCAGAATATTTCTAATATCAAAGTACTAACGTGAACAAGCATGAAGGCTATAAATTTCTAAAGAGGATCTTGCCAATAAACTTATTTTAAACCCAATGGCTTAGTTCGTAAGAGGGGTTGACGTTTGGTGGTCAGGTTCTATATGGATAGGGCCATAGGCTCACGTAATTCAGACCCAACCTCAATACCCTAAGGTTTTAAACTATTCGTCGCCATCTACCTCTTCACTTACCAGTCCTAGTATTGTAGTCAACGCAAACTTCGGTCCAAGGTATGGTAAAAATACCAGAAAGGATGTGACCTGTAAATGCAAAAAACAGTGATTAAGGTGAATAAATTGAACCATTCCATTATAGAAGACCAAGACTGTCAAGGAATTAACCATAGCCCATTTGTAGTTATAAGATTTTGGACACGAGTTCACCAACAAAAAGTAGGGAAAAGCAATTAACTTTTCTCTGAGAGTTGAAAAGTCTAGTTTCAAACTTATTACAATAGACAAAAATTACCTGGAAAAGTTTTCGTCCTAAATAGAGAATCATTGATTCATTCGGAACAGCAAGACTACCAGATTCGGTTGCTTTGGTTAAGAGTTCTTCAACCGCTCCATTGGCTTGCACTTCATCTCCTTGATTATCAGTTGATTTTAAGAACTTATCAACCATAACTCCAGCTTCTTTGTCAAGATACCGAACTGCATGAACAGAATGAAAACATTTAATTCAAGACGAGTAAAAAATTATGCTGAATCATGTAAAATGCCGCACAGCTGCATAATGGCGACGTTTAAGATACACCAAATCTACCACGCGGATGTGAAATAATACTCATGTCTTCATTTCCACAGTTTCACAACACGAGTTAAATTATGGACCCCTTTTGGTAGACAAGGCCAGAGCAGTAAGTAAATTGTAAAACTAATTAAAAATAGGTTCCTAACGCTACCGGGTGAATTCATGTCACGTCCGCGTCATAGATTTGGTGCATCAGTCCCTTGTGCCTCCAGGCAACGCATTTTACAACGAGACACGTGTGTTTCATGTTACGAGAGGTTCTTGGATTTTAATTTAACATACGTTTCTGTATAAAATGCACTATACGTCCTCTTGAAGAGATTTATGTTTGCACGTTAATTGACTATTATAAAACCGTGTTTTTCTGTTACGTGAAAAGACTGAGCATGACTTGAAGGATGGCGTCACAAAGGAGGTAGCATTCCAGTTTCTTTCAGCTCAATGGGCAAGACCCACGTGGCAAGATGGGGTCGCGGATGCCAAGGGCGTGGTGAACGTTACATGAATCATGCATGGTTTAACTCTCACACAAATCCTTGTCGAAAATGCCACCAGGACTTATATATTTCAGTCTCAATTATTCTCAGATACATAGAAATGCTGAAATCTTTTCCGACACACCTTATTCAAGAAATATTTTTAACAAAGACGAAACGATTCGTCGAAATAGATTCTGTTTAGAAACGTCTTACGTCGTTTTGGAAAATTCCGATTGTTACGTGCATTATATACGTATTTTATTCCCTCAAAACGCTATAAATTAAATGTAATAGCATCATCCTACAATAATTTAACGAAGGGTATATGTATGCGAAGCCAGCCCCCGACAAACCTAATCTTAGGATTACAAATACAGCAAATATTTCAAACAAAACCAAAACTTACTATTCTCCATTGCAGAATTTGTAATCGGCGCTAGAGTTCTCGAGTCTAAAACAGCTTTTCCAGCTTTGAATGCTTTCTCAAGCGACGATTCAGCGACGTTCATCCCATACCCGACATAGGAATTCGATTCTTTGATGGTATTGCATGTCTTTGTGACGGTTTGTAATGATGAACTGACCACTGGTATATTACTCAATTTTGTGCTGAGATTTTCCTTCAAAGTCTCAGCCTTGTTCACCGTTGTGGTGGGATCATCGTGTTTTAACTCGTCTGCCTGTAGTACGGTAACTACGGTTTTCGTGTGTGCTGTTTCTTCAGCCATGTTTGAAGCTTTGCCAAGTCGAAGCAACTAGTGAAATAAGCACCGCTTGCTTTGATTTATAGCCTTGGTTTGAGGGCCAATTCGTACATCGTGTTTTACAAATGACTTCCAAACGCATAAAAAACAATAGATAATGAGCTCTATTGAAACTAACCTTTTGTTAAAATATGAATAGTTAACACTACAGAATGATGGGTAAAAACTTATGCTTTTCATATGCAACTTGCCGAAAAGCTGCTGAAATTTGACGGAATTGGCCTTAAGCTAAGCAAACCATTTAAAATGCTAAGGAAATCTACCATATCTTTCCTTTCAGAGTTAGAATAAATTCTTATCGTGCAAGAGATAATAGAACTGTTGTCAGCTGCGCGTATTGGGACCCAAGAGATTTGCCTAATGAGGTCAGTTGTAGGTTTCCGACAGGTTTTCTTGTAAATACGTTCTGTACAAGTCTAAACTGTTGGAGAATGTTTTTTAAACTGAATTAGCGTTAAGGTGGTTAAAATCGGAACAACTTTAGCTGTTCAGGACTGGTATAAATTAAATAAAATACATGTTACGATTATAATAAATCTACGGGTTTTCGGGGGAAAAATGCTAGCCTCAAACCACAGTCGATCCTTATCATTATTTGTTAAAATATTGGACATTCAAGACTATGCATGTCTGTTTTCGCTTTTATTTAAAAAATTAACTTTCTATCTGTACTATCGCACTTCTTTTCATATACACATAAACTTTTAGTAATTTTTTCGCGAGTTTCACAAGATGTGAAAATCATAGTTGGATTAAATTTGTTTGTCCCCACTGATCCATATAGATTCTGAACGTACGTCGGGAGAAAATCTAACCCATAAAATTTTGACAGAAAATATTATTCGGTTTTGCGACGATTGGAACTATTTTCAATCAATTGAGAGAAACTTGGAAGTCTTTGCCTTTAAGTTAATTGGTCCAGGAAGCGGTAAAAAATGAAGAATTTTGCCTTTAAATCGGGTATTTAACTAGCACACACACTGGGACTTTTAAGACGATTTCTTTGCTGGCTCAACTAGACAAAGCAACCAACCACGCTTCATTTTCTTTTTCCATTTTTTGCACCAAGAATATAAATATTTGTCACCGCAATAAAAACCTGCGTTCCATGTGACCAAATTGCAGCCCACGATAAACTTCGTCCACGTGATCAGACCACGCACGTGACTAGCATACATCCCGCACGTGATCAGGAATTCGCTGCGCACGTGATCATGCAAATATTTATCCCTAACCATTAAATTTCGAGTTCTAATTCTGTTTGTCCGGCAAACAGTTAGCTCACTTTCTTAACGGCCGCCACCAATTCCTTGGCTAAAATCGAATTAATTGTCATCTTTTCACAGTTAACTGTTATTTTGCTACCTTTACCCCCCTTTTTCAGGTCGACTGTTATAAGAACAGGCACGCCGGAAGATATGGTCACACCGGAAAATCTGTAAATATTTGAAGAGCTGTTCTTTGGCAGAGCGCCAACACTTGCACAACCCAAGACTAGCGAAATTAGTTTTCTTTCATCGCAGTTTTCTGTTGGGATATCTGCCGTCAAAGAACTCTCGTTCATGCCGGATAGCTTTTCTGTAAAGTGAGGAAAGCAGAAGGTTAACGTAAGCTTAAAACGTAACGGTTTTCACATAATAACCAGATTATGTCTTCAGTAAAGTAAATGACAAAAGTAAATCCAGGACAAAAACTTTTACCGAGGTCATGACGGTCAACTCACTTTGTAAATTTATAAAATCTTGTTCGGTTATCGGACTTGCTTGCAGTTGTTCTCCCATAGGGCAGTTAACTTTCACTGAAAACTTGTTCGACTTTGTGCTAGAAAAAATAACACACAAGATCTTACTTGGAAGGATGGATGTTGGATGCCACTGTTTATATTATGTATTATGGAACAGAAAAAGCAATATGCAAGTATACTCAAATGCTCAAGCAATGTTTGCGGAATTTGTACTCACCATATTTCAAAACTAACTGGTTGTATGGTGTCTTTAAAATCAACTCCCATCGTAACAGTAACTGTGGAACCAACATCAATGGAGTCTAAAAACAAGATCATTGATCCAAATAAAATGAATAGAACTATTTTGACCGCTAGTACTACACATGCAACCTTCCTTCCACACCCATCAATGAAATATTTTAACCAATCTATCTTGCTATATATTTCCCTTTCCGCAATCAAGCAACAAGTTCAAACTCACCAATAGTCGGGAAATCACTCATTTTTAGACCAAGACTTAGTTTCTAAAAAATTGAAAAAGACATTGGAATAACACAAATGCGATCCATTTGGAAGGGAGTGGGGCCAGGGGCACGTTCAAAAATTTTGACGACCGGCTATTCAGAGAAGTAAAATGTGATTTTTGTAACTAACCAGAATACATATTAAAGATATGTTATATTGCCTGTGTAATTATAGTACTGATGCCATCGAAAACTTTACAATGTAACATCAGAAGCAAGTTTTTCAAGATTTTATCAAACGTTTCAGACCGACTTTGAATAGTTATACTAGAGCAGGGAGAATTATACTACTTCAATATCCAAGATTTGTGTCTTCTGGATGTATAAAAACACCTCGACTTACTTTCTCTCCTATACGAATATTTTCAATAACCGAGCCACTATTATTAACGAAGGTCACTTCCACCGCGACCATAGTTGTTGAAAATATACAGGGACTACGAGAAAATTTATATTGAGCTTGTAATCCTTGACCAGTTATCTTATTCAGTAGTTCATGCGAGGTCAACTTTGAGAAGTCCGTTACAACCTAAAAAGGAGAAAAAAGTTAGAGTTATGAATGCTTACTAATATAAACTATACACTACGATATTGAAATAGTTGTAGAATTCAGTCCAGTTAGTCCTTGAGTTCAATTATTCAAGTTCTATCAAATTCACCAGTTGTTGACGATTTGATATAAGGCTTCGTCGTGAGGGCATATAAGTCAAGATGCAAACGAATGATGGGCAACCGAATAAAAAATCCTTTGAAGAATGAACTGACTTACATTCTGTACAACGGGGGTAGGTCCATTGGTGGTAACACCAAGCGATAAGGTCTTCATATCATCGATAAGTGAAGGTGACAGAACAGAGTTATGTGTATTCGATGTACCATTCACGATGGGTGCCACTGAAAGTACAGAGATTCAGTAATTAGGCCTAGCCCTGACCGCTGCCCTCTCTCTATCTTTGCTCCGGCTACTGTCTGTTAAAATACGTCCAATATACTGTACCTTCTTCATCAAAGATGAGCAACTGATCTGTCGAGCTTGGTCTGGGTTCCACCTGTTTGGCAGCTTTAGGTTTCGTCTTTTCGAATTTCTCAGCCTATGAAGTGAACAAAACGTGGTGTTTATGAAGTTGCTCGTATAAACACTCATGAATGTGTTCTTCGGCTACATTGAGAAAGAAGGTTTAAGAGCTAAAAGAGTTGGATGGTGATATTTGTTAAAATTTTACCAAACCTTTTTAACCAGTGTTTCTTTCTCTTCCTCGCTCTCTGTAGACTCGTTTTCCGAAGTTTCAATGTCGCTGTCAGAATCTTCTTCGCTTGTTTTTGACTCAATACTACTTCGACTTTCTAATTTCTTCCTCACGACTATATCATTGTCATATTCGTCATCGCTTTGTTGAGACTCTATGAGAGGTGGAATAATAAATCATTTTTAACTGTCTCTCTAAGAAATGAATTTATATTACCTATTCTCTTTGAACAGATTAACCCACAGTAACAAATGAATAACATCAACAATGACAAACAACATCAAGAGTTGTAAACACCAAAACAGTAGCAAACAACAACAATGGTTGTATACAATATTAACGGTGACAAACAACGTGAACAGTGACAAACAACATCAACAATGGTAAACAACATCAACAATGGTAAACAACAACAACAATCATTGTAAACAATATCAACAGTTTCAAACAACGTGAACAGTGGCACACAACATCAACAATGGTAAACAACATCAACAATGGTAAACAACAGCAACAATCGTTGTAAACAATATCAACAGTTTCAAACAACGTGAACAGTGGCACACAACATCAACAATGGTAAACAACATCAACAATGGTAAACAACAGCAACAAACTCGACAACACGTCTGTCACATGAAACCAAGCCTAAAAAGAGAAACAATCTACCAGTTTCAGTGCCAGGTAATGATTCCATGGACGACTTGCTTTCACTATCGCTAACTTCCTCACTTCCACTTTCAGTTTCGCTTCCACTTTCACTACCACTGCCAGATCCAGATTCAGAACCTTAAGATAAATGCAAAATACGCAATTAACTTTGAAAGAAAGAAAAAAAAGTTGTGAAAAAAAAGTTGTGCATCACTCTTTCGAGTGATGCTTTTTTCACTACTTCCATGCTTTTTGAACTCAGAAATAAAACCACATACAATCACACTAACCTGATTCGGATTCACTTGAGTAAAATGAAGACTTCTTCTTAGATCGAGTATGTGTCTTTTTCTCCCATATTGGTTCAACCTGGAAACCCCGCCAAAAAATTTAAAATACTTTTCATTTTGTGCCATGCATATTGCTCTTAACAGAGGGCATATTTTCGGGGTTTTTTTTGGGCTTTGCCATAGAACTCGTGCATACCTCGACATTTCTAACCGAGGGATCAGGAGGCACCTCGGGAAACTCTGGAAGTTCCTGATAACCAGACGCTCTTGCATTTAATATATGGGAAAGAGAACCAACCATAAATTCGCCGTGATCTAGAAAATAGAAATTATTGAGAGTTGATTTTTGTAGTTGTACCTACTGCACACCGGTTCTTAAATGAACATACAGGTCCACAGGATTTATATCAGCTTTAGGGCATGTTTACTTGAAGCGAGTTATCCCGGCTAGGCGAGGTAAAAAGCGCATCACATGCAGTCAATCATGCAGTTTTCACCTCGCGTAGCCGGGATAACTCGTTTCATTTTCACACTGTTCTTATATAGTTTTTACACTTGCCTGATGGGTTCGTCTAAAGTTTCTAAGAAAACTAAAATACCTTTAAAAACAGACTCCAAAGCTGGAGGAGGCTTGGATGCCAACAAAATCTTTTTGGAGTGTTTGACAAGCTGACCAGTCTAAAACGCGATACGGTCGAACCTAAATTATCTTGCAGTGCACAATTACGAAGTCCACAGATAGCCTCTTACCAAAGGTATGTATACCCTGCCTATTTGTTCGCATTTTATGCGCTTGTAAATGGTTATCGGGTGAAACGTATGAAATGTATGCGTCTTGTTAGTGCGGGTTGGACGTTTTGTTTACATTTTATTAGGCGCAATAATTGAATTCTAGTGCACAAGTCATGGCGTACCGTGCAGTTAGAATCGAAACTCTCATTTTGCCTTCGAGCTTCAAGCTGTTCTAAGCACAAGGCCAACAACGTCTAGGAATGAGAAGATACGACTTTGAGCCCGCTAGAAGCGCCTTGTACCGCTTAAACTCGATCATGCGTAGTCCTTACTTCTTGAGCAAGCGCCTAAGTGGGCTGAAACGATCCCCGTCCTAAATCCCCGTCTGATGATTGCTGGGCATGTTAAAAATCATGTTTGATTCAAATCTATCCCACGGGTTACTTTGACGTGTTCCTAGTGAAATTAGGTGTACAGTGCTAACCTTCTCTCCAGGGAAAACAATGGGTCGAAGAAAGCGAGCACGATCTCTGATGTCGTAACTTTGATCATACTTGGCAAGATTTAGCACGTATTGACAGAGTTGTTGTGTCTGTGGAGGTAAAACGATAGTTTGGAATAGACCGAGATAAGTATAATTTATGGGGCGCAGCCAGAGTCTGTATTAGAGAAAGAACTACTAGAAGAGCGTGTTTGTATGAAAAATGATGGTGTTCATATCAAAAGAGATATCAGTATTGGAAATAAGGGTGGTGGTATATTAGAGAATAGAGGCAAGAGAATTGGAGAGAGGTGTGTCTATTAGAGAGAGATAGTTGTTTGTATAAAAAGGAATTGGAGAATGGGTCGCTTTTGGAGAGTAAAGGCCTGAGAATTGGAGAGGTGTCTCTTTTTTAGAGAGAGAGTTGTTTGTAAAAATGGAATTGGAGAATGGGTCGGTATTAGAGAGTGGAGGCCTGAGAATTTGAGAGAGGTGCCTCTTTTAGAAAGAGGGAGTTGTTTGGAAAAATGGAATTGGAGAATTGGTTGATATAAGAAAGTGGAGGCCTGAGAATTGGAGAGAGACGTGCGTCTTTAAGAAAGAGGGAGTTGTTTGTCTCTCAAATGCTGCTAGGTCAGAAATGCTGCTAATACTATTAAACATCTTACCTGTGTAGGATTAACTAATATTAACTTTGCACCTAAGTTTATTATTTGCAACTTCACTATATCCTCCTAAAACAAATGCAAAAGACCCTGGCTTAGTTTTGCTGTTGTGATGGTATACGAAGGCTAGGACGGTTAGTTTGTTTGCTAGAGACTGACCTCTTTAATGAAAGTTTTAGCGGCCATCCTCAAAACATCTGGTGCGAGCTTGGGAACGCGTTCAGCATATTCACCAACCAACCACAAGATGCTTGCTCTTGCCATAGGAACCTAGAGCAATGTGCAAAAGAAACAACATCATTATTACTGTTTCTCTTGTTACCAAAAAAGCACAAAATTAGGAAAAAACAAACACAATACTTACTGTAATTTTATTCAATATCTTTGCCATTTGTGTTATAATTTGAGACTTGTCTTTATGCTGCAATGAAAATTTATTTTACTGCGAAATGATCACACAAGATCTCAAACAATTTATTTGACAAGCCCACAAGCATACTGTATATTCAAAAGTCAAACATATATGAAAAAACTAAGACATATAATGACCTTTAGTTGCAGAAGTTTTTTAATCATGACCACACTTTCAGCAACAACAGTTTCTAGACAATACAATGTTGATAAAGATAGTCAACTTTCCAAATAAAGAGAACAAAATGAAGATACTGGTAGACATCTCAAAATAGAGGGTAGTTTAGTCCAGTTTCCAAAAAGCAAACTTACCATCTCTATTCGACAATAATTTCACCAAACCAGCTAAACACGTATCTGTGACTTCAGGGATGTTTGAAGCACAGCGTCCTATTGCCTGTATCGTTGAAGCCACAAACTGCTTGTCTGCGTTATTGATGTAGGTCTACGTTTTCACATAAAAAATACATGTTGAAAATGTTCTCAATGCTCATACTTCATGTAAGCATCACAAGTTAGAACATGCACAAAACCACATTTTCCTTCCAGATAAACATAAACAAAATCTATTTTCAGTTTCTCCAAAGTAGTGAAAACATGATAATTATAAGGAATGTATATTTCAATTTATGAAAAGCTCACAACTCTGTCAAGGCACCAACTGCACCACATTTGCATACACAGCTTATAAATTTAAGTCTTCCTGAAAATTTTTGAACTCTAAACGTCACAAGCTTGTAAATTCTATGAGCTTTTCAATACGAAATACCACCAGTATATATGATACGTTTGCATTCAGACTTCATACAACATGCTAATGGTTTTGCAATGTTTTAGGAATTTTTAATTAAGTGTATTTGTATTTACTGACCTGAAATTCTCGTAGTAAAATTGTTATATTGGTTTCGGACGCAATATTTGTCATTATCTCCAGCTAAAATATAAGATACATGTAGTAAGATACAAGATCAGCAAGAGGCTGGCACCCTCAGAAGAGAACCAGGGGGGAGTTTATCTTTGGTAAAAAGTTATGAAACTAACCTTTAGTGTCTTGATATGCGAGGAATCATTGGAGTGGACAAAAAAACTTTTCAAATGTGACTCAAACATTCCCTAAGGAAATATGACAGTTAGATTGGCTTGGATTGTCTTTGGAGCTACTATTACATGCTTTAATTGACAAAACAATTGTAAATAAAAATATATTTATGAAAGGGTTAATTGGAAATAGCAAGGTACACCTGATACCAACGTAAATAAACAAAGTTGTTGCTGGTTTATCAAATAGTTATTGTGAAAATTTTACTAAAGTCCATAAAGGTTTTCTCAAATTAAAATACCTTTCTTGTTGCTGAGAGAGTTGCTATATTACTCAAAACAACATATTGCACTTCCCTGCAAAATATAGTCTCACAGTTATTTTTTAATGTCACTGAATCTTAAAGATCACATCAAGTGAAATACTAGGGTAAAGCTTGTATAAAAAAAGAAGTGAGTGGGTGAAAGTCACATTCACAACTATTCAATTAATTATTAATATTAAGCATTAAAAAATTGACCTTGATCGTTTTTTATAGTATAGAATTATTCAGAAAATTCATATTGGTTAATTTGTATGCTTTGGTAAAAGATTCATTAGTTTACCTGTGACCTTTAAGCAACCTCACCAAAGCTCTTGTCACGACACCAACCTCACTGGCAGGAGCACAGTGATGGTACAACCTGGCCACTGCCATCACAACCTAAGACATTTACAATCATAACAAAAATGAATTTCTTTCACAAGTGCCTTAGTCCAGGTGCACAGGCAGACTAAAACGAGTCAGTCACACGATCCAACTAAAACAGAAAGGTGCTACCATGAAAGGTACTCCTCAAAGCATTTGAGGTTTCGAAAGAATTAGAAATAAGGTCTGAACGAAAAGTTCAAGTCAGATGTCCATTTTTTAACAGAAGAAGCAGGCATGATGAGTTATTGCCATTACATGGATCAGAACAACATAACATATTGCACATATGCATGTAAAAATAACTTTTTTTACAACAAACATTGCAAAAGAACACACGCAGGTTATTCAAAACTCACCGCAGCATTTCTGCTCTGTAACAAGGGTTTAGTGACTCTCAGCAACAAACGATGATCAGGATCCATAATATAAGGTTTCTTCTTTTCTGTCTTTTCGTTATTATCGTCGTCATCATCATCATCATCATCTTCATCCTGACTACCATCAGATTCCGGGTAGAATTTCTCATTTTCAAGATCCTGACAGGTCAAGATAGAGTACAATGATTGTCAGGCAAAACATTAAAACAACCTTCTGCAACTGGAAAAATTAAAATGATTTCAAATTGCAATGAAGCAAATTGTGATGACTTCAAGGTGACTTTAAGTTACTAATAACATTACATTCAGGTATTATATAGAGGTCAGCTGAAAGAGGTGAACACCAGCACACTGGAGTTTTGGGGTCGTTTTGTTTAGCCTAAGCACCCCATACACGCTCGATTTTTCTCAGCTGACCTCTATATAATAGCTGAATGGAACATTAAATGTCTTTCCACTAAAGTGCCTGGGTGTGAGGCTGTCAAATTAAGAACTTCTTACCGCTTTGTTAGGATCGAGAAACTGTGACCTGGCATATCTTGTCAACATATGGATTACAGCTGACTGTCCCCATTCATCAATGTCCACCAATAGATTGCACAATTTACGATAATTCTTGTGAATGAGGTCGATTCGATCAGGGCACAATTCTTCAAATGCCATGACAGCACTCCCAGAAACAAGCTAAACAAATAAAAAGAAATTTAAACTCTTCAATTGCGAGCAGGATTGTGTCAGGGCTCAAAATAACGCCCAAAATATCTCCAAGATGTCAGCCTCATTTTATCTTGGTCAAAAAATGAGGCAAAAATACCGAAAACATTTGTGTTAAAACACTCACTGTTGTCTTATCCTTTAGCAATTTTTCTATCACTTCCACCAGCGGCTCTTTTAGTTCTGGATCAAGGCTAAAAATGAAATTTTATTATAATTTCACATTATTGCCAAAGAGATATTTGACAAACTTGCACACCTTTGAATGTGTGGTCTTAACTCACCTATAAAGTTTTGGAATGGCATGGCAGGCAGTCTTTCGAACAAATGGAGACATGTCTGTCACTGCCTGAAATATAGAATGAATGGCCTTTGAGTCACGGTGTTGTGGTTATGTTGTACACTATTAGAATATGTTTGTGTGACTTCAAATGAAACTAAAAAACAAGCAAAAATGGCTGCATGCAATTCTGCAATTTTTGCTTTGCTAGTTTAATGTTTACAGTACATAAGGATTATTCTTCAATAGTTATGTAAAACAAGCGTGGTCTGATTCAATCAAATGAAATATGATAGGAATTTCAACAATTTCTACAGAAATCCTCATTTGACATGGAATTCAGCTGCTAACTTTTTACACAAAGGACTGCATTGAATGATAGTTCTTTTTTGTTTGTTTATTAATGCAGTATTCATCAACTGGCAGGCAAATGCCACAAAAGCCTTGTGTTATACGTACCTCTTTGATGGCCAACATCATGATTGGCACAATAATTGAAACACGGATACTTGACAACACTCGTAAGGCGCTTGCTCTGATTAACTGGTTGGGATCCTTTCAAACAATGGATAATCAATTCACACATTCTTAGCAGGATGGGACACATAATGCACTAATGCACATTAATGCACTTGAAATATTTATTAGTGAGGCGAACCACATTAATGAACAAGATATCATAAAATATCCCAGCTTACAACCAAACCTATCCTAGCAAATGCCAGTTCTCATTGTACACCAGCTAATCTTTACCTTAAGAGCTTTTTGGAAGGTGCTTATGGAGAGCAATGCCAAATCCTGCTGTTCTTCTGCATATCGTACCAAGTAAACATACACCAGCTTCTTGATCTAACCAAACAGCCAAACATGAGTTACACGTATACTATACCTCAATGTGCCAGTACGTAGACTACTGTAACATTGCTGTACCAACTAGCGAAATTTGGCAAACACAATGTGATGCCTAAGACACCATGAAAATGCCATAATCATAACCATAGATAGACAGAACACAGTCATCACACCATATCATGTTGTGTTTGCTAAATTTCTCCACTATCTTAGAAACTACTTGGTATTTGGTATTGGTACTTGGTATTTTTTACACTACTTCCCTACAGAACTAAATTTTGAACTAGGAAAACTCATCTGAATGGCTGGAAAGAGCTTAAATTCAAATATTGGTTACAAAAAACAGCATTGTAAGATGTGAAGAGTGGATGCCACAAAACTGATAAATTTTTCTAGCTCAAAATTATTTTTAATGGGGGGATGATCAATTACCTCAGGATTTTTTGAAACAACATTCTTGACAACAGATGCAAACATGTTTGAAACATCCTTGCCACTTGAAACATTCTGAAAACGAAACAAAAATTTAGAGAAAAAGTGACTAGATATGTTTTAAGGGAAAGTCATGTTGGTTCTATGCAGCAGTTCTGATTATAACAACATGAAAGCAAGTTATGAAATTCAAGAAGTCCCTGGAAATGCCCTGAGGAATTGTTGTTTTTTTGTGACTTCACACTATTTGTCTACAATTCAAAATGATACTTTGATCTTTCATTATCTACATACATAAAATTATTTGCATACTGTACCAGTTCAAAGTACTTAAGATGTAATAAAAAAACTTTTATTGTTACCAAAACAAAGTCATATCAATGCCTTATATACAACTATAACTATCTGACAATATCTTATTAATGCAATTATATTATATTCTCTAATCACTCGTTAACTCATGCATGACATCAAACACACTAATATATAATGTTGTTTTTAAAAGCACTAATCACTTTCAATAAAAACGAAACTATCCTATATTTGCATGCTTAGGTACAATTACTTCGGTCGGTTTCGAAAAAAGAAGGGAAGAATTTTGCAACACCAAAAGTCACGTGCACTTCATTCACTTTGGATCATGTGAGGATATTTTGATACGAAAATACAAATTTTTTAAATGCGAAAATAAAATAAAATGGCACTTACTTACCTCAATTATACGTCTCATAGCCTCCAATTTATCTCTGTCTTTACTGCTGTCCAGAAGTTCGTTTAGATCGGCATTGCTAAGCGAAACAATACAGTCGAAATAAGTACATTTGATTCGCAAATTTCAAGTATTGCCACATCATCCCAAGAATGGCAACACTTTCTGTCGAAATAGAGCAGATTTCGAGCACCTACCGTTTGAATTTCCCAGCGAAAATCCTCCCCGAAGACGATTCCCCCACATCTGGATCTTGGTCGATGCTATAAGCCATTATTTAAAAGAAAAATTAATCTTTGAAGGCTCGTAAGTCGAGCACGAATCCCGTTTCAAAGATCAAATAATATATAAATTTGATGGCGGCCGCGCATAGTCGCGGGAAATGAGACCTGAGTACTAGCGAGAAAAACGTATGGCGCATAATTTTGGCGGAACTGACTCAACACAGCAGCCGCAGGCTCGCAGCCAATCAGCGCTCAGAAAGTTTGTCAAAATAAACTCCTATTCTGCAGTATTTAATCAATTTTATCTTGTGTTATTCTTTATGGAACCAGTCGAAATTGTGTGATTACGTTTAGTTATAAGAACTTATACCTCAGACATAAATTTTAAACCGAAATAAAGTATATTTCAAAAGATTTTAACTTGTTTCAACCGAAAAATGGATTTTGATTTGACAACTAGTTCTAATCTTTCCCGCCACTTCGGATAAACTATTAAACTGGATGGTTGGGAAGGGGAGCTGGTGCTTCTAGTTTTCCTTGGGTTTTAGTAGAAATATTTGGCTATTAATAATGAAACAGGTGAAAAATACTTCACCTAAAAAAGAAGTCTACAAAGTAATAGTCGATTACTAAGTTTTAACTTAGAAAGTTATTATAACGGATTAACGGGGTAAAAGTTTATGCGTAGAAAATGTAACCAACAATAAGTCTGAAGTTGCTATAAACATGCTTGCCGACTCGAATCGAAAAACTGATTGATCCATGACCTTTACAATTTAATGAGTCGACTTTCGCAAGAATGCTAATATGCAAGTTTGGTTGATAGAGTTTTGGCAGTGATAAAAAACGCGAGCTTCCAAATGAAAAAAACTTTTGCATGATCGTGCACAAACAGTATGTAGCTATGTAGTTACGACAAATTTGCATTTTCTTGTCCTCTTTTAAATTATTTTTTTAAGTATCAATTCAGATATTAATTTTGGATTATGTTTTTCACGTTGTATGCTCACACGTTGAAGAGTCACAGGTATAACGAGCCCACTAATTGCTGCCATTGATTTGAACTTCCCACAAAAGATCCTTTGAAAGCGGTTTTCATGTGAAATTTACCACAATTTATTTAAGAGTGCACACATTCAGAGTGTGTCAAAAAATATATATTCAATAGCTATATAAGTTGTTCACGAAAGTCGCATACAGTGCATTGCAAAACGTATTGAAAAATTCTTAATGACTTATAAACTGAGATCGCGTTTTCTTTGACCAATTACTCTTGTTCCTTGGGAAATTCTGATTGGTCCATCAACAGGAAGTTAGCAGTTTCCCAAAAATGTTTCTCTTATAAATACACTTGCGATTATGGCTGGCGCAGAAATCGTTGGAACAAACAAGAAACACTGAAACACGCAACAACAACAACACCACAAGATGAAGAATATTCTTGATGCGGGCGAAGGCTATGGCAAAAGACACGAAATTTTCAAAAGAAGTTGTAACGAAAAAGAAGAAGTACTCAAGATGTTACAAACTCACATTCTGACTCGAATCGAAAAGTTGAATAATTCAAGCGTTGAGAAGCAATGCGAGTTGAAGATTCTTAGTGTCGGAGGGGGAGAAGGTGACGTTGATTTGAAATTTGTGCAAATCCTACTCGAGGAATTGGAGAAACACAGCTCTGATGATCAAAACACGACGATATATCTGCGAGTGGTTGAACCGAATTCATCTTCGTGCAAACAATTCAGCGACGCCGTAAAAGCTCGTCGAGATTTGCCAATCCACGTCGACATTCGAGGCCAAACTTTTGAAGAATACATTCAAAATGAGCAAAACACAAGCACGACATTTGACATAATACAATTTATTCACAGCATTTACTTTGTTCAAGAGGAAAAAGCGATTTCGTACTGTTTGGAAGAGCAATTGAAAGATAGGGGTTGTCTCTTCTTCGTGTATTCCGATGAGGCGATAATGACACAAGTGGCGCTTGAAATGGCACCAGAGAAACGACCTAACGACAAGTTGGTGAACCTCGCCGAAAAAATAGGCCCCAAATTGATTGAAATCGTCGAGAAACGTGGCAGGAAGTATGAAGTACATTCACACGAACATTCGTTTGATGTGTCTGAAATCTTCGTCGGATCAGAGAGTGGTGACTTGCTTCTTGACTTCATAACTCAAAAAGTCGACTTTCGCAAGAATGCTGATGCAAGTTTGGTTGATAGAGTTCTGGCAGTGATAAAAAACGAAAGCTTCACAAAAGATGGAAAACACCTTTGCATGAAAACTGAAACGCTGTTGGTCGTGAACAAATAGAATATCGGAATGATGTTTTGCAATATAAACGAAATATAACGAACTTGCAAGTTCTTATCTTGATTTAACCCATGTTTCAACTAAGAATCAACTGAGATTTTAATTTTCGTTAAGTGCAATGTGCGTTGTCACGTCGAAGTATTAGAGGTAATCCATGACTTGCTAAAAATAAAAGATCCTTTAAAAATTGCTTTAATCTGAAAGGTCAGTGTTGTCGTTGAAACAGCGAACAACGATATTTGTGTAATACATGCATTTTGCCGCAATATTTCAAAATTCTATTTCATATTTTGTTGCCTCTCGGTTGTTATACATATATTGTCTTGACTTTAATGCTCCATTTTATCGTTCTCATTACTCTCATTTAAACAGCTCCTAAGGCTGGTTTCCAGTCAGGAAAATTATCTAAAGACCGTATAGGACAGAAAAGTCTCTTTCATCCATCCATTCTCAATTAAAACTAATTGTCTTGAGCACAAAAGGAGACACCTTCACCTCCAACTAGTTTTCGGAACAATGCAAAATAGCTTGCTCCTTGGCAACACAGTAGATACTGTGTATAAAATGTATTATGTCAAATGCTTTACTTGTGTTTTGCTTATTTTGAATGTATTCTTCAAACGTTTTTTCGCAAATGCTGACGTGGATTGGCAAATCTCGACGCGCCTCTAACGCGTCACTGAATTCTTTGCACGAAGATGAATTCGGTTCAACCATTTCAAGCTATATATTGACCCGATTTATAATAGAGACGGACTATCCGTCTGGACGAACTTGGGGAAAGCAAAAAACGGATCCTCCTTTAAGACGAGTTATCCACATAGTTCGTCAATTTAGATGAATATGATTGGGTAGTTTGTCTTGACGCATCATCTGTCTGTTAGTATAAATACGGGGTTGGAAACGAAACACGGAAAATTTCGTCATACTGAAACGGCGCTTGTACATTCTTTTTGCCGCATAAATAATCATTCTTCATGTAATTTTCTTTTTCTTTTTAATGCTCAGTTCTTCGTCTCAGAGACGCCGATATAACCAACAGTACTTCGTCTAAACGGATAAAGCGTCTGTTGTCCGTCTTTATACTGAAGACGAATAAGCATACAAAAAATATTAAAGGTGCATTATACGTTCAGACGCATCATTCGTCTCTAGTGTGAAAACGGCAAAAAACGATGCAGAATGCAAATCTCAAAGGCTCTCATCATTGGCGGCGACGTGCGATCACACATGAGCTGCCCGCACAGGCAGGTTGCATTGGCCGTATTAGGAGGCGACCCGCGAGCTACGCAGGGGGGTTGTTAAATTCTCCACCCGGAAGGAAAACGCGGAAAACGCTACGGAATTTAAGGTCTCGCTGTTGCTTGCAACGCACATTGCAATTTTTTACGCAGCATTGTGGCATGGCACCACATAAATAATAAATTCGGACACTCAGAAGTGTCCTGCAACTGCAAGTGCTGCAAGACACGTACATTTGGCGATGGCGAGAATCCTAGATGAGGGATATTATTATAAAAGATACAATGTGTTCAAAAGATATTGTAAACAAGAAGAAGAAGGGCTCCAGACGCTACAAACCTACTTGCCGATTCGAATCGAAAAATTGATTAATTCAAGCGTTGAGAAACAACACGAGTTCAAGATTCTTAGTGTTGGCAGTGGAACAGGAGACGTTGATTTGAAGTTTGTGGAAATTCTACTCGAGGAATTGAAGAAACACAGCTCTGATGATCAAAACACGACGATATATCTGCGAGTGGTTGAACCGAATTCATCTTCGTGCAAACAATTCAGCGACGCCGTAGAAGCGCGTCGAGATTTGCCAATCCACATCGACATTCGAGCCCAAACCTTTGATGAATATATTCAAATTGAGCAAAATGCAGGCATTGCATTTGACATAATATATTTTATTCACAGCATTTATTTTATTGAAGAGGAAAAAGCGATTCCTTACTGTTTGGAAGAGATATTGAAAGATCGGGGTTGTCTCTTTTTCATGTATTCTGATGAGGGAATGCTGAAGCAAGTATCATTTGAAATCGAGAGACGATCTAATGACAGGTTGATAAAATTCACCGAAAAAAAAGGTCCGAAATTGATTGAAATCGTTGAGAAACTTGACTGGAAGTATGAAGTACATTCACATCAAAATTGTATTGATGTGTCTGAAATCGTGGTCGGATCAGACAGTGGTGACCTGCTTCTTGACTTCATAACCCATGAAGTCGACTTTCGCAAGAATGCCGATGCAAGTTTGGTTGATAGAGTTCTGGCAGTGACAAAAAACGCGAGCTTCGTGAAAGATGGAAAATATCTTTGCATGAAAACTGATACTTTGTTGGTCGTGCACAAATAGAATATCGGAATGATGATTTGCAATATAAAAGAAATATGACGAACTTCCAAGTTCCTGTCTTGTTTTAACCTATATTTTGAACAGGCCGCTAGTATTGTTGTCAACATTGAGATTTGAATCTTTCGCAGATATCTGAAATATGATGTCTTAAATAACGAACACTGACATTTGTGAAATTGTGTAACATGTATTTTGCCACAATTACTGCTTCAAAATTCAATTTTATTTTGCTGCCGGCTTCATATAATTTTCCTTAATTCTCATTGCGTTTTGAAGACGATATTTACCAATACTGCACACTACACCCACACTGATCATCAACACTGCATAAAGTGTAAACAATACTATACTAGACTTAAAATACGCGCTGTAGTAAATGATGATTTGAAACGCATTAACCTCAAGAAATGTTTGCGTTTTTTTAAAGCCGAACTGAGTAATTCAACTACCTGTCGCGAGCATCACATGCCGGTGAAGTCGTCGAGTGCCAACGCATTTTTTATGCAGTTATTTTATGAAAATACACAGAGTACTAAAGTAGGACCTCACAACGGACCTCTCATGGTATTCAGCTAATCATTGTGAACACTATATGTGATCTGTAAGCTGAGCGCTTTTTTAATTGGTTAAATATGTCGACGAATACTGATAGTTCTTGCTTTCATTCTGAATTCGGTTCGGCCATAGCGGAGAGCTCTCGTTTGTGGTCAAGATACAAGGCGCATAAAAAAGTACAAATTCAATTCATGCTTGAATATTTTCTAATCGCGTGCACTTTCTACGCACGTATAATGTTTTCAGATGTTTTTTTATAATCATGTGTGGGACTGCATATGGTTGTTATTACGTCTGAGACAGGCTAATTACTGTAAAAAAAACTCGCCTCGCTGTCGCAGTTTCAATTGCATTTTGATACAGATTGTCGATGCGGGCAAAGGCTATGCAGCCTATGCCAAAAGACACCACGTTTTTCAAAGAAGTTCTAACCAATACGAAGAAGTGCTCAAGTTGGTACAAACCCACATACAGAACCAGAAACGAACGTTTATATCGCTAACGCTCGCACGCTTGTCGTTTTATATTACGCCCAAACAATTGGGCTAAAGTATGCATAAAAAATAAATAAATTAAATAAATAGGTCACGCTATTACAGTAGAAGATACTGTGTATAAAATGTATTATGTCAAATGCTGTACTTGTGTTCTTAGTAGTTCACACTGGCGCATGCGCATAACGTAGACGACCGTCCATGACGTGAGGCCAATGCATAATGCGGACGAGTTTGATTTCGCATTTTCACATGGTGGGTGTAAATATCCGAGCGGAATTTGTACCCTCGGAAGGTGCTCCGCGCCGGCTCGGGAATTAAACTTGCCTTTGTTTCTAGAACAATTCTGATTGGTCAATCAACAGGAAGTTAGGAGTTTCTAACGGATTTTCTCTTATAAAATGTGCGATTATGACTGGCGCATTAATCGTTAAACAAAACGAAAAACAGGCAGCAATTGCAACACGAAATGATCAGTATTCTCGATTCTGATGAAGGCTATTCAAAAAGAAACAATGTCTTTAAAAGAAAATGTAACCAGGAAGAAGAAGTGCTGAAGATGCTGCAAACATGCTTGCCGATTAGAATCGAGAAACTGATTAATTCAAGCGTTGAGAAGCAATGCGAGTTCAAGATTCTTAGTGTCGGAGGTGGAACAGGAGAGATGGATTTGAAATTTGTGGAAATCCTCCTCGAAGAATTGAAGAAGCACAGCACAGATGATCAAAACACGACGATATATCTGCGAGTGGTTGAACCGAATTCGTCTTCGTGCAAACAATACAGCGAAGCGGTAAAAGCACGTCGAGATTTGCCAATCCACGTCGACATTCGTGAGCAAACGTTTGATGAATACATTGAAAATGAGCAGAACGCAAGTAGAGAATTTGACCTAATACTCTTTGTGCACAGCATCTACTATTTTGACGAAAAACAGGCTATTTTGCATTGTTTGGATAAACAATTAAGAGATGAGGGATGCCTTCTTTGCGTGTATGCTGACGAGTTGATAATCAAGCAAGTGGTGTTTGAGATAGCGCTGGAAAGAAAATCTGGTGACAGATTGACCAATCTCGTTGAAAAAAAGAGACCCAATATGATTGAAATCGTTCAAAGATGTCACTGGAGGTTTAACGAAATTTTCAACGAATATCCTATTGATGTGTCGGAAATTTTCGTCGGATCAGAGAGTGGTGACCTGCTTCTTGACTTCATAACTCAAGAAGTCGACTTTCGCAAGAATGCCGATGCAAGTTTGGTTGATAGAGTTCTGGCAGTGATCAAAAACACGAGTTTGGTGAAAGATGGAAAACACCTTTGCATGAAAACTGACACTCTGTTGGTCGTGCACAAATAGAATATCGGAATGATGATTTGCAATATAAACGAAATATAACGAACTTGGATGTTATTATCTTGTTTTAACCTATATTTTGAACCGGACCGCCACCATATTGTTGAAAACATTGAGATTCGAATCTTTTCCATGTAATATGATGTCGTTAAATAACGAACATTGATATTTGTATGACATGTATTTTCAGGCACAATATTTCAAAATTCAATTATATTTTATTCCCGGCTTCATATAATCTTTCTCAATTCTCATCTTGTTTTGAAGACGATATTTACCAGTACTGCACCACACATTTACATTCAATACTGCACACTGGCTATCAATACTTCAAAAGTGTGCAATACCACACTTAGAAAAGGCGCTGTGGTATTGGTTTTTGAAACGCATTAACCTCAGGATCTTTTTTACGTTTTTTTAAAGCTGGACTGACCGATAACCAGCTGTCGTGAGTGAGACAGGTGAAGAGTTGTGCTCAATTAAATATATACGTCAATGCATTTTATGCAATCTTTTCATTCATTAATACAGAGAGTAAATAGCCTAAGACCTCACAACGAACCTCTCATTCTCTCAATTGGCTAAGCATAGTGGTCAAATTTTCAGTTGTCTCTGGCCTCACTGTCACAGCTTTCATTGTATTTTGAAACAGACCGAAAAACAAGAAGTAATCTTGCAACGCATGAATAATGAATATTCTCGATGCGGCCGCAGGCTATGCCAAAAGACACCACATTTTTAAACGAATTTCTAACCAGGACAAAAAAGTGCTCCAGATGCTACAAACTACTTGCCGATTCGAATCGAAAAATTGGTTAATTCAAGCGCAAATTATGATGATGGAAAAGAATTTTGCATGAAGACAGATCGCCTGATGATCGTGTACAAAAATGATTTGCAATAAAATCATGAACGGACCACGACGAACTTGTTCTTGTGGTGTTTTAACACAAGTTTTGTTTTAACGCTTCTGCATGTTTGACACCGCGGAAATTGGCATAGACTTTCTCTATAGCCGCAATTCTCAATCACTTAGGCTTCAAACTTGGTGAGAAAAAAAATTATAAATATTAAACAAAATATGTCTTGCACAAAAGATTTAAAGCTTGCACACGGCAAAAACGAGACATCTGAATTAATAACCTTGTGTATACTTTGTGTACCTTGTGTATACACAGCTGTCAGATGTGTATGATGAGCTGTCAAAAGATTGCAGAATGCGTATTCCGAAGAAAAACCAAACTTTTTAAAGTTATTCAATAGTTTTCTCTTTGATAGCGATACAGAAATGCACAATGTGAACCATAAACACTAATTTCTGCGGTGTTCTTCTGTTTATTTATATTACGCATGGTAGAATGGTGAAAAATACAAAAGTTAATGGGAACATATCACCTGGCATGACATGGGACGTTGAAATTGGTTGTTGTTACAGCCAGGCTTGGATACATACACTGACGGTAAAAAACTGCTCAAATGTTGCTATTACCGTATGTAAAAGGAATCGTGACATTCTATCTTTTATTGTACACTAGCGGTCAAAAAGAACTGTTTAGATACAAATTCATAAAAAAGAAGCGAATATAGGAGAGAGCTTCATAGGCATTTTGGATAATTCTCTTATTCCATAAAAAATATCTCAATAATGTAATGCAACCTGCCCCACTTCCAAGATATAGTCAAACAATGGTTTCAGGAAGAGGGAGAGACAGAAATGGATTGGCCTGCACAGTCACAAGACCTTAACCCTATTGAAAATCTGTGGGACAATGTCAAGGGGTGCAAGGAAGGAATTAATTCATAAAGCGTTTCACGATTTATGGGTTGCTGTAAAGACTGTCCATAGGATGAATTTCTTTTGACCGCTGAGATTACCACCATAACAGAAACTGAGAAAGTATGCCACGCCGGTGTAAGGCCGTCATCAATTATAAGGGCGAAGGAGGTTCAACAAAATATTAATACTTCATAAAGCTTAGCATGTAATCTAGTCTATATTTATACTCGTATATATTTCATATAGCTTAGCATGTGTAATCTAGTCCGGCTATATTTACTCGTCTATACTTACTTCATTTGCGAGCATTTTAACTTGTTTTGAGCAGTTCTTTTTGACCGCCAGCGTATAATTTCCTTTATAATGCATGACAGTTCGTGGGATATATTAAAATAGTCAAGCCTAAGCGTCAATCACCGAACCGAAACAATCGCATTTCGGACCGAAAAAATCGCATGTAGCTTACGATAAAAAATTTGCACGCCGTGGGCAGATGCAATCTCTTTTGTTGATAATTTGTTTACCTTATATTCATTTATTGGACCATTTTTATTGGTTAAAATATAACTAGCAACTAGTAACCAAGACAATGTGCTCAAGACATGGTAGAAGAGCGTAGAGATTTACCAATCCACATCGACATTCGAGCACAAACTTGATGAATATATTCAAAATGAGAAAAATGACGGCTCGTGCGTCAACACACGCAAGTTAACGTTATCCGCATTGTTCGACAATTTAGATGATGTTGAATGGGTGAATTACAAGGGTAAGGGATAGTCGAAACACCACCGCGAATTTGTAAACATGGAGGCGTTTGGACTAGCCCCCTACCGGCATCGACTTTGCTTTAGTTCGCTACGCTTGACAACAGCAGCAAGCACGTCATGTTTTGCACACAAACGAGAGGTTTGATAATACCATTACCGTATCGCTGATAATACCATTACCGTATCTCTCTATATATAACAGAACCCACCCCCACCACGAAAATTGGAAAACCCCCCGTACCCCTGATGATGTATTAAGTGGTTGATTTCTTTTAAAACAACTTTGATTGGTCAATCAACAGGAAGTTCGCAGTTTCTATGTTTTTGTAATTACACATGATTGTAATTACACAATCACGCAGTGATTGTGACACTACATCAATTGCTTAGAAACGGCCTGCAGTTGAAACACATTAAGCAATGGCAAGTATTCTTAACGAGAGCTATTATTCTAAAAGATACAATGTTTTCAAAAGATATTGCAAACAAGGTGAAGAAGTGCTCAAGATGCTACAAACCTACTTGCCGATTCGAATCGAAAAATTGGTTAATTCAAGCATTGAGAAGCAATGCGAGTTGAAGATTCTTAGTGTCGGAGGTGGAACAGGAGAGATAGATTTGAAATTTGTGGAAATTCTACTCGAGGAATTGAAGAAGCACAGCTCTGATGATCAAAACACGACGATATATCTGCGAGTGGTTGAACCGAATTCATCTTCGTGCAAACAATTCAGCGACGCCGTAGAAGCGCGTCGAGATTTGCCAATTCACGTCGACATTCGAGCCCAAACTTTTGAAGAATACATTCAAAATGAGCAAAACGCAAACACTGCATTTGACATAATACACTTTATTCACAGCGTTTACTTCATTGAAGAGGAAAAAGCGATTTCGTACTGTTTGGAAAAGCAATTAAAAGATCGGGGTTGTCTCTTTTTTGCGTTTTCTGATGAGGGATTACTAAAGCAAGTATCGCTTGAAATTGCAGAAAGACGACCTAATGACAATTTGGCGAACCTCGCAGAAAAAAATGGCCCCAAATTGATTGAAATCGTCGAGAAACGTGGCTGGAAGTATGAAGTATATTCACATCAATACCCTATCGATGTGTCTGAAATCTTTGTCGGATCAGAAAGTGGTGACCTGCTTCTTGACTTTATAACCCATGAAGTCGACTTTCGCAAGAATGCCGATGCAAGTTTGGTTGATAGAGTTTTGGCATTAATAAAAAACGCGAGCTTCGTGAAAGATGGAAAATATCTTTGCATGAAAACTGACACTCTGTTGGTCGTGCACAAATAGAATATCGGAATGATGATTTGCAATATGAAGGAAATATGACGAACTTGCATGTTCCTGTCTTGCCGCTTTGATTGTTGAAAACATTGAGAGTTGAATCTTTGCATGAAATATGATGTCGAATTTGTGTAAAATTTCAATTATATTTTGTTGCCGGCTTCTTGCATAAATCTTTCTCAATTCTCATTCGAATTTGAAGACGATATATCATCAATGCTGCACATATTTACATTCAACCCTGCGTACAGACCATCAACACTGCATGCACGAAGTGTGCGATACTATACTAGACGTAAAATAGGCGCTGTGGCGGTTTGGCCTGTGGCTTTTGAAACACATTAACCTCAGGACATTTTTGCGTTTTTTTCTAGACGAACTGACAAATAACCAACAACCGGCCCTTGTAAGCTGAGCACTTTTTTAATTGGTTAAATATGTCGACGAATACTGATAGTTCTTGCTTTCATTCTGAATTTCGGTTCGGCCAAAACGGAGAGCTCTCGTAACTCGTTTGTGGCCAAAATACAACTGCATAAAAGAAACGTACAAACTCAATTCATGCTTGAATATTTCCTAATCGGATGCACTTTCTACGCACGTATAGTGTTTTCAGGTGTTTTTATACATCACGTGTGGAAGTGCATATGGTTGTTATCAACTCGCCTCGCTGTCGCAGTTAGCGAAAGTATTGCAACACATAAATAATGAATATTCTCGATGCGACCGCAGCCTATGCCAAAATACACCACGTTTATAAAAGAAGTTCTAACCAATACGAAGAAGTGCTCAAGATGTTACAAACCCACATTTAGAACCAGAAACCAACGTTTACGGCGAACATTATTATTTATTAGTTCATTTAGTTTGTGAACATTAGTTTACGAACATCGTAAAGATCCCCAACTGCCTCGCGTGAGAATAGGGGAAATAATAAAAAACTTATAACAATATTTTGTTATCCCGGGTTGCTATACATATTGTTTTAATTTCTATGTCGGCTTAATATAATCGTTCTATCCCCATTGCGTTTTTCCTTATCTACAGTCCCAACAAGTGGTACCAGATGAAAGTCAGCCAACAATCATCACCAAACTATACATAAACAACACAGCGCACCAGAGTGGTTTCTTAGCTCTGTTTATGGAATAAACCGTCAAAATGATATTTTTGTTTATTTGAATGCTTGTAATTCATAACATAAGTTTATAAATTGCGTAGATTCTCAAAGAATTGCTCGATTTTTGCGCCCAGAATCACCAGAATGTTTCAGGAAGCAACGCTCGTTGCTCCACAGCAAACGTCCCTCTCGGCTCTTATATAAACAACTCCTAAGGTTGGTTTCCGGTCAGTAATATAAAATCAGGCCCCGATGATATATTAAGCGCTCTCCCCACGAAGTTGATCTCTTGAACAACTTTGATATAATTTCAGGAGAGATCCTTAAGAAACTGCAATCAACAGGAAGTTTGCAGTTTCTCAAAGATCTCTCCTGAAATCATATACGCAGCGATTGTGACACCACATAAATTGCTTAGAAGCGTCCTACAATTACAAATATATAAAGTTTTAAATAACGGCCGGTTTATTTACAAGCTTCGCTTTATATCTTCTTCAAAGTATAATAATATTTTCTTCAAAATATAGTATAAAATAAGCATATTCATCACCGCCGGTCGAGCGAGAACGAGAAGAAAATAAGAAAATTAAAACGACACATACGTCATGTAAACATTATACAACCAACGTAAACAAACATTGTTATGCGCAGAATATATGCGCAGAACGGACTTTACATCATCTTGAAACAAATTAAACGATGGCGAGTATTCTTGATGAGGGCTGTTATTCTAAAAGATACAATGTTTTTAAGAGATATTGTAAACAGGGTAAAGAAGGACTCCAGATGCTACAAACCTACTTGCCGATTCGAATCGAAAAATTGATTAATTCAAGCGTTGAGAAACAACACGAGTTCAAGATTCTTAGTGTTGGCAGTGGAACAGGAGAGATGGATTTGAAATTTGTGGAAATCCTCCTCGAAGAATTGAAGAAGCACAGCTCTGATGATCAAAACACGACGATATATCTGCGAGTGGTTGAACCGAATTCATCTTCGTGCAAACAATTCAGCGACGCCGTAAAAGCACGTGGAGATTTGCCAATTCACATCGACATTCGAGCCCAAACCTTTGATGAATATATTCAAAATGAGCAAAATGCAAGCATTGCATTTGACATTATACACTTTATTCACAGCATTTACTTTATTGAAGAGAAAAGAGCGATTTCTTACTGTTTGGAAGAGATATTGAAAGATCAGGGTTGTCTCTTTATTATGTATTCTGACGAGGGATTACTAAAGCAAATATCGCTTGAAATTGCAGAGAGACGACCTAACGACAAGTTAAAGAACCTCGCTGAAAAAAAAGAGCCCAAATTGATTGAAATCGTTAAGAAACGTGACTGGAAGTATGAAGTACATTCATACCAAAATTGTATTGATGTGTCTGAAATCTTTGTAGGATCAGAGAGTGGTGACCTGCTTCTGGACTTCATAACCCATGAAGTCGACTTTCGTAAGAATGCCGATGCAAGTTTGGTTGATAGAGTTCTGGCAGTGATAAAAAACACGAGCTTCGTGAAAGATGGAAAACACCTTTGCATGAAAACTGACACTCTGTTGGTCGTGCACAAATAGAATATCGGAATGATGATTTGCAATAGAAGCGAAATATGACGAACTTGCACGTTCTTATCTTGTTATAACCTATATTTTAAACGGGCCGCCACTATTGTTGAAAAAATTGAGATTTGAATTTTTTGCATGAAATATTATGTCTTTAAATAACGAACACTGACATTTGTGTAACATGTATTTTGCAACACTTCAAAATCAATTGTATTTCATTCCCGGCCTCATATAATCTAGCCTGCTCGCAGACTGAATTAGGGGGCCGATAATCTTTCTTAATTCTCCGATTGCGTTTTGAGGACGATATTTACCAGTATTGCACCACACATTTACATTCAATATACTGCACACTGGCTATCAATACTTCATAAAGTGTGCAATACCACGCGTAGAATAGGCGCTGTTGTATTCGTTTTTGAAACGCATTTACCTCAGGATTTTTTCAAGTTCTTTTTAAAGCTGCACTGACCAATAACCAGCTCTCGTGAGTGTCACAGGTGAAGTCGTTGTGCGTCATTAGATACGCCAATGCATTTTATGCAGTCTTTTCATTCATTAATTTACAAATTAAAGTAAGACTTCACAACAGACCTCACATTCCCTGAATTGGCTCAGCATTGTGGTCAAATTTCAGTTGTCACTATCACAGTTTTAATCGTATTTTGAAACAGACCGAAAAACAAGAAGTAATCTTGCAGCAAATGCCACATGAATAATGAATATTGTCGAGGCGGGCGAAGGCTATGCCAAAAGACAGCACATTTATAAAAGAAGTTCTAATCAAGACGAAGAAGTGCTCAAGATGTTACAAACCCACATTCCGATTCGAATCGAAAAGTTGATTAATTCAAGCGTTGAGAAGCAATAGGAGTTGAAGATTCTTAGTGTCGGAGGTGGAACAGGAGAGATAGATTTGAAATTTGTGGAAATCCTACTCGAGGAATTGAAGAAACACAGCTCAGATGATCAAAACACGACGATATATCTGCGAGTGGTTGAACCGAATTCATCTTCGTGTATACAATTCAGCGACGCCGTAGAAGCGCGTAGAGATTTGCCAATCCACATCGACATTCGAGCGCAAACTTTTCAAGAATACATTCAAAATGAGCAAAACGCAAGCACCACATTTGACATAATACATTTTATTCACAGCGTTTACTTCATTGAAGAGAAGAAAGCGATTTTGTACTGTTTGGAAAAGCAATTGAAAGATCAGGGTTGTCTCTTCTTCGTGTATTCCGATGACATTATAATAAAGCAAGTGGCACTTAAAATGGCACCAGAGAGACGACCTAACGACACGTTGGTGAACCTCCTTGAAAAAAACGCCCCCAAATTGATTGAAATCGTCGAGAAACGTGGCTGGAAGTATGAAGTATATTCACATCAATGTCCTATTGATGTGTCTGAAATCTTTGTCGGATCAGAGAGTGGTGACCTTCTTCTTGACTTCATAACCCATGAAGTGGACTTTCGCAAGAACGCCGATGCAAGTTTGGTTTATAGAGTTCTGGCAGTGCATGATCAAAAACACGAGCTTGGTGAAAGATGGAAAACACCTTAGCATGAAAACTGACACTCTGTTGGTCGTACACAAATAGAATATCGGAATGATGATTTGCAATATAAACGAAATATAACGAACTTGGATGTTATTATCTTGTTTTAACCTATATTTTGAACCGGACCGCCACCATATTGTTGAAAACATTGAGATTCGAATCTTTTCCATCTAATATGATGTCGTTAAATAACAAACACTGATATTTGTATGACATGTATTTTCAGGCACAATACTTCAAAATTCAATTATATTTTATTCCCGGCTTCATATAATCTTTCTCAATTCTCATCTTGTTTTGAAGACGATATTTACCAGTACTGCACCACACATTTACATTCAATACTGCACACTGGCTATCAATACTTCAAAAGTGTGCAATACCACATTTAGAAAAGGCGCTGTGGTGTTGGTTTTTGAAACGCATCAACCTCAGGATTTTTTTTACGTTTTTTTAAAGCTGGACTGACCAATAACCAGCTGTCGTGAGTGAGACAGGTGAAGAGTTGTGCTCAATTAAATATACGTCAATGCATTTTATGCAATCTTTTCATTCATTAATACACAGAGTAAATAGCCTCACAACGAACCTCACAACGAACCTCTCATTCTCTCAATTGGCTAAGCATTGTGGTCAAATTTTCAGTTGTCCCTGGCCTCACTGTCACAGTTTTCATTGTATTTTGAAACAGACCGAAAAACAAGAAGTAATCTTGCAGCACATGAATAATGAATATTCTCGATGCGGGCGAAGGCTATGGCAAAAGACACCACATTTATAAACGAATTTCTAACCAGGACAAAAAAGTGCTCCAGATGCTACAAACCTACTTGCCGATTCGAATCGAAAAATTGGTTAATTCAAGTGCTGAGAAGCGGCAATGCGAGTTGAAGATTCTCAGTGTCGGAGGTGGAACAGGAGAGATAGATTTGAGATTTGTGGAAATTCTACTCGAGGAATTGAAGAAACACAGCTCTGATGATCAAAACACGACGATATATCTGCGAGTGGTTGAACCGAATTCATCTTCGTGCAAACAATTCAGCGACGCCGTAGAAGCGCGTCGAGATTTGCCAATCCACATCGACATTCGAAGCGAAACGTTTGAGAAATATATTCAAAATGAGCAGAACGCAAGCACGGCATTTGACATAATACACTTTATTCATAGCATCTACTTTGTTCAAGAGGAAAAAGCGATTTCGTACTGTTTGGAAAAGCAATTGAAAGATCAGGGTTGTCTCTTTTTCGTGTTTTGCGATGAGGCTATAATAAAGCAAGTGGCACTTGAAATGGCACCAGAGAGACGACCTAACGACAAGTTGGTGAACCTCGCCGAAAAAACAGGTCCGAAATTGATTGAAATCGTTGAGAAATATGGCCGGAAGTATGAAGTATATTCACACGAACATCCAGTTGATGTGTCAGAAATCTTCGTCGGATCAGAGAGTGGTGACCTGCTTCTTGACTTCATAACTCAAAAAGTCGACTTTCGCAAGAATGCCGATGCAAGTTTGGTTGATAGAGTTCTGGCATTGATCAAAAACGCGAGCCTCACGAGGGATGAAAAAAACTATTGCATGCAAACTGATATTCTGATAATCGTGCACTTATAGAATGTAGGAATGATGATTTGTTCTTAATAGAAACGAAATATTACTAATCGATTGCACGTTATTATCTTGTTTTAACCTATATTTTGACATTTGTGTAACATGTGTTTTGCCACAATAATTCAAAATTCAATAATATATTTTGTTGCTGGCTTCATGCAATGTCGTAATGATAATATTCAGCGTACATCAAAACGGTCAAGTGATATACGTTAAATTCCTAAAGCTTAGCTTTGGTTAATTATCATTCAGCATAGTATTATATTGAATATTCGAGTCGTATAAGGAACAAATCAATTCTAAACCTGTGTGCTCTTTAAGCGAATTATTGACCGCTCATGAGTCGCCTTGGCCGAAGTTTCGAAGCGGAATTCTACATTTTCACTTTCCCAGCAAATTAAAGACTAAAGAAAAGGCCGGAATTGTTACGTTTATTTAATAACGCTGGATTTAAAAGTGGGATTTAAAAGCGCGAGTGTATGTTTTGTATGAAACGAACAACTTGCATATGTTTTCTGTGAGTGCGGTTTTCAAGGCCAAAGGTCATTCGGGCACTTGCATATAAAATGTAACAATAATGAGTACATCATAACTAATAAACCTATCCGAAAATTTTTTGATGGGGGTTGTGCGCCAGGCTGAATCCGCCCCTAATTATGATATTCAACATATATCTGACTATATGTGATCTGTATACAACGAATATACGACGAATACTGATAGTTCTTGCTTTCATTCTGAATTTTAGTTCAGTCAAAAGCTCTGGGTACGAGGTTTTTAAAAGCTCCCGTCTGTAGACAAAATAAAACGGGTGCATAAGATAACGTACAAATCATAATTAACTCAATTCATGCTTGAATATTTCTGAATCGCACTTTCTACGCACGTATAGTGTTTTCAGGGGTTTTTTATACATCACGTGTCCATGGAACTGGATATGATTGTTCTTATTGATTGTTTATGTCGAAGACAGTTCAGAAATCAGTATTGCGGCAACACATGAATAATGAATATTCTCAATGCGGCCGAAGGCTATGCCAAAAGACAGCACATTTTTAAAATAAGTTCTAACCAAGACGAAGAAGTACTCAAGATGTTACAAACCCATATTCCGATTCGAATCGAAAAGTTGATTAATTCAAGCGTTGAGAAGCAATGGGAGTTGAAGATTCTCAGTGTTGGAGGTGGAACAGGAGAGATAGATTTGAAATTTGTGGAAATTCTACTCGAGGAATTGAAGAAACACAGCTCTGATGATCAAAACACGACGATATACCTGCGAGTGGTTGAACCGAATTCATCTTCGTGCAAACAATTCAGCGACGCCGTAGAAGCTCGTCGAGATTTGCCAATCCACGTCGACATTCGACGCCAAACTTTTGAAGAATACATTCAAAATGAGCAAAACGCAAGCACTACATTTGACATAATACATTTTATTCACAGCGTTTACTTCTTTGAAGAGGAAAAAGTGATTTCGTACTGTTTGAAACAGAAATTGAAAGATCGGGGTTTTCTCTTTTTTGTGCTATCTGATGAGGGATTACTAAAGCAAATATCGCTTGAAACTGTGGAGAGACGACCTAATGACAAGTTGGCATACCTCGTTGAAAAAAACGGCCCCAAATTGATCGAATTCGTTGAGAAACATGGCTGGAAGTATGAAGTACATTCACATCAATACCCTATTGATGTGTCTGAAATCTTTGTCGGATCAGAGAGTGGTGACCTGCTTCTTGACTTCATAACCCATGAAGTCGACTTCCGCAGGAATAACGATGCAAGTTTGGTTGATAGAGTTCTGGCATTGATCAAAAACGAGAGCTTAACGAAGGATGGAAGACACCTTTGCACGAAAACTGACACTCTGATGATCGTCCACAAATAAAAGATCGGAATGATGATTTGGAACAGAAACGAAACTTGCACGTTCTTATCTTGTTTTAACTTATATTTTGAATTTTAACTGAGATGTTAACGTTTAGATTATGCTTTCCACGTTGTATGTTTGCACGATGAAGAAGGTTGTTGCTGGCTTCTTCATATAATGATATTAAACATATATCTCAAGCGGGAATACTCTTATTATGTGATCTATAAGCTGTTGGTTTCGAAACGGAAGAGACTAACCAACGGATGTTTTCTATAATATTGTATTGGCAAAAACAACCTTGTTATTTTCCGCAGCCACAACCGCTAAACCAAAATGCGTAAGTTTAGTCAGCAAATGCGCAATGCGGTTTCCCAGCCTAACCTAGCAATGTCCGTTGCGCAAAACAACATTTCTAGATCCATTGCACGTTCCGGTATCGCTCTGCATAAATATAGGAGACTCAAGCAAACTTAAGTCAGTGTTTAACGTGGACCTGCTTGTGAGTAAGCAACTGTCGTTGGTGCCTTTATAAAATAATTGGCGCGTCAATATCTATTCACGTTGGTACTCTAGAAATCTACATATTCTACGCTATTTTTCTATAAAAGTTTGGTGCGTGCGCAAACCAAAGTAAGTAAATTTGTTAAATATAATTGTTATTCTATGCGCTATGTTCACATTTGCGCCATTTGTTTATTTAAGTAATCTGCGCATAACTTTTGCTATAATGTGTTAGTTTGCATGCCGCACGTTCTAGTTAAGTATCGCTATTCCAAACGCTAAATTCGCTGATTATTTTGCATGCCTAATTCAGTGTGTTTTGTTATATCATTGATAGCCACATATATATCGGCAATAGTAATTGTAGTGTTAAAGCATGTTATTCTCAGTATAAGTACTCGTTAATTGTCATATCATATGTATATCCTAATTAGCTTTCTGTGTTATATAGTCGTTTATAGTTAGTTTGTTTAATTGTTATATTCTAGTTCGAACCGATATCCAGTCGATTCTCAATCGATTTCCAGTCGATTCTCAATCGATCTACAGTCCGTTTCCAGTCGTATTATCTACGGACAATCGTTTCTAGCTCGACTGTGTTATCCCAACGACGAGTTCGTGTTTGTCAGTCTATACCTGTAGTATCGTTGATCTATATTAAATCCTCAGAACATTGTTATCAGAATCGTCTGTCGAGTTCGTTTTGTTATCCACGCACCCGTCTATTTAGTAGTTTCGTTTGGATTATCGTTGCTATTCAAATTCTGTTCAGACGAAAGCTACATTTTAGTTCGAATTTGATGCACTGTCAAAAGGAATTCGACGAATTTGTTACTGGTCAATTGAATGCGTCACGACTGTGTTGACAGCTTGTGATCCGATCCGATTAGCTACCGCAATCATAAATCAATTACCACCTTCTTATCCACGAAGCTTAAAGAAAATCTACCTATGGCTGAGAAGGCACGTTCAATAGAACAGTTTAAGAAAGCGCGAAGTACCGCAAAATCAAAAATCACCAGAAAAATAAACACAATCAAAGGGTTTATGCGAAACCAAGATAACTTAGCTGTTGTCAAGGATCAATTAGGAGAACTGCACGATGAACTAAAAGCGTTCAAAGGCGTTCACGAGGCCTACCATAGTCAGTTAGAATCTGATGTCGACTTGCGTGAATCAGATGACTACCGTCGTTCTGTCGAAAGAATTGCGAGGGATTTCGAACACGAGACAGGCATATGGCTTGCTGAAATAGCTCAAGAGATAGAAAAATCCTTCAAGCGTCAATCCGACTCTGAACTTGTGAACATTCAACCAGAAGACTCGATAAGTCAAGTGGGATCCCGTGCTTCGTATCGTACGCGCTCAACTTGTGGGTCGAAGACAAGCGTAACCAGCGCGAGAGCAAGAGCTGCTGCTAAAAGGGCTGCCCTACAAGTCGAAGTAGAACTTCTCGAACGTTTGCAGCAAATCGAAATGGAAGAGCTTGCTCTTCAGCAACGGAGGAAACAGCTTCAGTTACGTGGGGAGATTGCAGCAGCCGAGGCTGAAAGAGAAGTCTACGAGAAAGCCGAATCCGAAACACGTATTGATAGTTTACCCTCTCAAGTTAGAAACTTACAAGCGAGAAAACTTGAACCTGAAGTAACAACAGCCAAAGTTGAACACGATGAACTTAATACGACCCCAGCTCCACCTAAACTCTCGATGTCAAACTCCACACCTGTTTCGGCAAACAGTACTTTGAATAACTTCCACGAAGAGTCCTTTAAGAAACTGGTCGAAGTGCAAGATCAACAGAGTCATGCCCTTCAACTACTTATACAACAGCAACAGCAGGGAGTTAAAGCCCTAACCCTTCCTCAACCAAGCATGCAAGTATTCAGCGGTAACCCCATAGATTATTGTGATTTTATCCGTTCTTTCGAGCATCTTATCGAGGCTAAAACTACAAGTTCAAGTGCTCGACTGTATTACCTGATCCAGCACACGTCTGGTGCTGCACAAGAACTAATGAAAAGTTGCCTAACAATGGGAGAAGATGAAGGTTATAAAGAAGCGAGAAGGCTGCTAAAGGAAAGATTTGGGCAAGACTATAGAGTTGCTGCTGCACACGTACAGGGGCTTATAAACGGACCACAAATTAAGAACGAAGATGGTATCGCCCTACAACAGTTTTCGGTGCAATTGACAAGTTGTACAAACACTCTGGAAAAGATCGGATACTTGGACAGATTGAACAACTTTGATAATCTAAAGAAATTAATCGACCGATTGCCTTATCCAATGAGGATCAAATGGCGAGACAACGTTGATCGAATCGTGGAAAGAGAAGCCAGAGATGTCAGTATTAAGGACGTAAATGACTTTGTCACCGCAAAGGCAAGAGCTACGACCCATCCCATCTTCGGGAAGATTTCCACCGCCGAGAAGGCACCGAAATTCCAGAATCCGAAGATGAGAAGAAATGGAGGAGCCGCAGGGTTTTCGAGTCAGACTACCAAACAAACGCTGAAGTGTCCGCTTTGTGGGTCAAACCATTGGTTATCTCGCTGCGACAAATTCCGAAAGCAATCGCTGGAGGAACGACAAAAATTCGTGAAAGAAAAGAAGCTCTGTAACAATTGTCTCTCAACTGGTCACTTTGTTCGTTCTTGCACCAAACAAAGCTTCTGTAAGGTGCAAGGTTGTACCGGAACCCATTCAACATTCCTCCACCCAAAACTCGCTGAGGACAAGCGTGAAAGCGAAGACTCGAAGAGAAACGAGAATAAAAGGATTCCAGAAGATCAAGGTATTAAAGACACCTCAGATGGAGCAACCAACGGTTACGTAAAGTCACGGATCCCAAAATACAACTCTGTGACAGGTCTCGCGGTCGTTCCAGTCAAGGTGAAAGTAGCCGGGAGTTCTAGGACAGTGGAAACATATGCATTTCTAGATTCGGGATCCAACACCACGTTTTGTACAGACACCCTGTTGAAGAGACTCGGCGCGAAAGGGAAAAAGACAAAATTAACGCTCACGACAATACAAGGCGAAAATGAACCAATCGAATGCTCCTTTGTCAGTTTGGAAGTCTCCAATATGGAAGGAAACGCCGACATCAAGCTACCCATGGTGTATTCGAGACCCAGCTTACCGATCCCATCTGAAGCGATTGGTAAACAAGAAGACGTCGACAGGTGGCCCCACCTGAGCGGAGTCAAAATTGCCACGATCGCCCAGGACGTAGGTCTGCTAATTGGAAGCGACGTTCCCTCAGCGTTACAGCCTATTGAAGTAAGAGAAAGCAAAGGCGAAGGACCATTTGCAACTCGAACAGCTCTCGGATGGACATTGAACGGTCCATTGGAAGAGAATCAACAAAAACTCCAACTGTGAATTCAATACAAGCTGACAGCAAACTAGATCGACAATTTGAACGTTTTTGTAACCTCGAGTTTAACGATAACCAGTACGATCCAAACCCAACGATGTCTCGAAATGATCTGAAAGCTCTTGAGATCATGGATGAAACTGCGAAGTTAGAGAACGGTCACTACGAGATGGCTCTGCCATGGAAAACATATCCGCCAAATCTGCCAAACAACCGAGTTCAAGCCGAAAGTCGACTTCAGCTCTTGAAGAAACGATTGCGGAAAAATCCAGATCTGCACACCAAGTATAAGGGATTCATGTCTAATCTCTTAACCAACAATCACGCAAGCAAAGTTGTTGATCATAATGGTGGTCCGAAAGGAATGGATTGGTACCTTCCTCATCACCCGGTATTCCATCCTCAAAAGCCTGATAAAGTCCGAGTGGTCTTCGATTGCTCTGCAAAGTATAACGATACTTCCTTGAATGACCACCTGTTACAGGGGCCGGACCTTACCAATTCACTCATAGGCGTACTAACTCGTTTCCGGCAAGAAGCCGTGGCATTCATATCCGACATTGAAGCCATGTTTTATCAAGTACGCGTAAGACCAAGCGACCGCAATGCATTACGTTTTCTATGGTGGCCGAACGGCGACTTGGATAAACCACCTGAAGAATATCGAATGAATGTGCACCTATTCGGCGGCGCATCAAGTCCAAGTTGCGCTAACTATGCGCTGAAGAAAACGGCAACAGATAACGTTGAACATTTTGATGAGAAAACTGTTGAGACCGTTCGACGCAATTTCTACGTAGATGATTGTCTAAAATCAGTCGCTGACGAAAACGAAGCCGTCAAACTCGCAAAGGATTTACGAGATATGCTCGCGCGGGGTGGCTTCAAACTCACGAAGTGGGTTTCCAACTCAAAGAAAGTTCTAGAATCGGTACCAGAATCTGAAAGAGCGGCAAAAGTAAAGAACCTAGATTTCGATCAAACCTCCATCGAAAGAGCTCTTGGTGTCGGGTGGAATGTGTCATCCGACACATTTGGCTTCTCAGTCGTTATCAAGGATCGACCCTCGACTAGGAGAGGTATACTTTCGGTCGTTAGTTCTGTCTACGACCCTTTGGGTTTTGCTGCTCCTTTCATACTAATTGCAAAACTGATTCTGCAAGATCTTTGTCGCTCGAAGCTCGATTGGGATGACCAGATCCCTGAAGAACATCTAAACCGTTGGCAAGCGTGGCTGATTGATCTTCCTAACTTGGAAAAGTTAGCCATTAATCGTTGTTTTAAACCAAAAACTGCGAATCAGCCAGGAATCAACTCCATTCAACTTCACCATTTCTCTGATGCTTCTCAGAATGGATACGGGGCAGTGACGTATCTCAGGACAGAAAACAGCTCGGGTGAAGTGACGTGTTCATTCGTCATGGGAAAATCAAGGCTAGCACCCATTAAACCTGTAACGATTCCACGAATGGAACTGTCAGCTGCCGTTGTTTCAACGAAATTAGAAAGAATGGTAAAGAGTGAACTTACTCTACCTATCGATCAATCGTATTTCTGGACAGACAGTACATGCGTTTTACGTTATATAGAAAATACAGAGAAACGTTTTCAAACTTTCGTTGCTAATCGAATAGCTTCGATACACGATGCTTCAACACCCAATCAGTGGAACTACGTTGACACTGAGTCGAATCCTGCCGATGACGCGTCGAGGGGAGTTTCAGCCAATTCTCTACAACGTTGGATTGAAGGTCCGGATTTTTTGCGCAAATCTACCGAATCCTGGCCACAAAGACCAGCTGAACTAAGTTCAAAAGTACCTGACGACGATCTCGAGATAAAGAAGAGCTCGGTTGTGTGTGCAAGCAATTCACCGAAACCAGCGCAAGAACCGTTTGCGGAAATATTCCAAAGGTTTTCATCCTGGACAAGATTAAAAAGAGTGATCGCATGGATGCTCCGCTTCATCACAAACATACGTCGCCGACAGCCGAATCGAGCCACAGATATTCGAACCTCTCCACTTTCCTTGAGAGAATTGGCAAATGCAGAAAATTGGATCTTGAAGAGTGTACAAGCAAGTTGTTTTGCAGACGACATCCGTCGTCTTCAAAGGCTCTCCGCGTCAAGTAAAACAAGTCATCCAAGCCATCTAACAAGTCCAGTACTTTAGTCAAACTAGACCCAATCATGGAAGATGGTCTAATCCGTGTTGGAGGTCGTCTCCAACAAGCACCGATCGTATGCGACGCACAACACCAAATTATACTACCCAAGAAACA